CCGGTGGAGCGGATTGCTCTGGCTCTGGCGTGGAGCAGCTGACCGGTGCCAGACCAGGCACAGGTGGAACAGGCACGGACCGTGCCGGACTGACGACGCGCACCACTGGATTGGTGCGGGGAGCAGGAACGGGCCGGACCGGGCTGACGACGCGCACCACTGGCTTGGTGCGGGGAGCAGGAACGGGCCGGACCGGGCTGACGACGCGCACCACTGGCTTGGTGCGGGGAGCAGGCACGGGCCGAACCGGGCTGGCGACGCGCACCACTGGCTTGGTGCGGGGAGCGGGAACGGGCCGGACCGGGCTGACGACGCGCACCACTGGCTTGGTGCGGGGAGCAGGAACAGGCCGGACCGGGCTGGTGACGCGCACCACTGGCTTGGTGCGGGGAGCAGGAACGTGCCGGACCGGGCTGGCGATGCGCACCACAGGCTTGGTGCGGGGAGCAGGAACGGGCCGGACCGGGCTGGTGACGCGCACCACTGGCTTGGTGCGGGGAGCAGGAACGTGCCAGACAGGGCTGACGACGCGCACCACTGGCTTGGTGCGGGGAGCAGGAACGGGCCGAACCGGGCTGGCGACGCGCACCACTGGCTTGGTGCGGGGAGCAGGAACGGGCCGGACCGGGCTGACGACGCGCACCACTGGCTTGGTGCGGGGAGCAGGAACGGGCCGGACCGGGCTGACGACGCGCACCACTGGCTTGGTGCGGGGAGCAGGAACAGGCCGGACCGGGCTGTGGAGACGGACTGGAGGTCTGGAGCGAAGAGCTGACACAACCCATCCTGGCTGAATGCCTATTTCTACACACTCTGTGTGAGGCATCAGCACAGGACGTACAGGGCTGTGCACTCGTACTGGCACCACAGCACGTGGCACTGGCGCAGGATATCCGGGACCGAGGAGGGGTACTGGAGGCCACGAGCGTTGAGCCGGCACACTCCGTCCTGGCTGCATGCCCACCTTAGCACGACACGTGCGTGGTGCTAGCACAGGACGTACAGGACTGTGCCGGACCACTCGCGGCACAGTACGCAGCTCCGCATAACTCGGAACCTGCCCAGTCTCACGCTGCCTAGCCTGAGTACGGGGAGTTGGCTCTGCTCTACCTCTAGGCTCCGCCAACCTCCCTTCCAGCCCCCCAAACCTGGTGGCCTCCTCTCCTAATCCGCCGATACGTCCTGTAGCTGCCTCCAGCATCCCCATCGTCCATGCCGTGTGCCCCCCCAAAAAAATGTATTGGGGTTGCCTCTCGCCTGTCCGACGACGACCCGGTTGGCGCCGCTTCTCCTCTCCTGCCTGGGCATCCTCCCTCATTGCCCTCCGGTAGCGGACGGCCTCCTCCTCCGTGATTCTCCCCCAACCGAGGAGGACATCTACCAGAGTAACCTCCTGTTCCATACCCGGAGTTTGCTCCTGCACACGCTGCTTGGTCCTATTTTGGTGGGATCTTCTGTCACGATCGTTACAGGAAGCGGCGGACCAAGGCGCAGCGTGATATGCGTACATTCTTTTATTTCAGTACACAACATGAACCAAAACAACAAAACAAACGATACGTGAAGTCCTGGGTTGAACAGAAACCTTCCGGAACAAGATCCCACAATCAACTGTGCAAAACAGGCTGCCTAAGTATGGTTCCCAATCAGAGACAACGAGCTACAGCTGCCTCTGATTGGGAACCACCCTGGCCAACATAGATCTAAACGATCTAGAATAAACACACAGAACAACTAAACATAGGAACTAACACCCTGGCTCAACATTAAAGAGTCCCCAGAGCCAGGGCGTGACATATAGAGCATTGTTTCCCAACCCTGGTCCTCCTGTACCCCCAACAGCACACAGTTTCGTTGTAGCCCTTGACAAACACACCTCATTCAATTCATTGAGGGCTTGATGATTAGTTGACAAGTTGAATCAGGTGTGCTTGTCCAGGGTTACAATAAAAATGTGTACTGTTGGGGGTACAGGAGGACCAGGGTTGGGAAACACTGCTATAAAGGAAAGATAAAATGTGATGCCAGAAAAAAATCCATATTCACAGATCTTAGTGATTATTTTACCATTCAAAAGTAATATTTTGTATATTTTCTTAGGATCCCCATTAGCTGCTACTAATGCAGCAGCTACTCTTCCTGGGGTCCACACAAAACCCAATAGGCAAAAAGAGTAGCTAACAGCTAGCTGTGTAGGAGGCTGCGTGGGGGAGTCTTTGTATTAATTCCCAGCTGTTGGTGCCATGCATGTAACAACAACACATCAAATAGTCAGGTTGTTGTTTTGCATCTTCATTCTGCTGCTGCTCTGAGCCAGTGTGATTAATGAGGATGAAGGAGATTAGAATGTCAAGTTGAGAGATAAAACACGTGCCATATGTGAAAAGTAGTAAGTCCTTTGAAAAGGTTGTGTGTGTGAGTGTGTGTGCGTGTGCGTGCATGCATGTATGCTCTACACTGAGTGTACAAAACATTAGGAACACCAGCTCTTTCCATTACATAGACTGAGTGCACAAAACATTAGGAACACCTGCTCTTTTCGTGACATAGACTGACCAGGTGAAAGCTATGATGACTTATTGTCACTTGTTAAAACCACTTCAATCAGTGTAGATGAAGGGGAGGAGACGGGTTAAAGAAGATTTTTAAGCCTTGAGACAATTGAGACATGGATTGTGTAAGTGTGCCATTCAGAGGGTGAATGGGCAAGACAAAATTTTTAAGTGCCTTTGAACGGGGTATGGTAGTAGGTGCCAGGCGCACCGGTTTGTGTCAAGAACTGCAACGCTGCTGGGTTTTTTCACGCTTAACAGTTTCCCGTGTGTATCAAGAATGGTCCACCACCCAAAGGACATTCAGCCATCTTGACACAACTCTGGGAAGTATTAGAGTCACCATGGGCCAGCATCCCTGTGGAACGCTTTCGACAACTTGTAGAGTCCATGCCCCGACGAATTGAGGCAGTTCTGAGGGCAAAAGGGGGTGTAACTCAATATTATTAATGTTTTGTACAGTCAGTGTATTTACCATGTGGCTGCCCTAAGTTTGTGATATTCATTGTGTGAGCCTGTGAATGCATGTCACACACAACTGTCACCAAAGCTTCTGTTTTGTGATTGGCTGATTCCTACGCAACCGATTTGTGTCGCTGCCTGCCGCTGTGGTGACTGTGTGAGTGTCAGACAGATGCAGACAGGCACACTCCACTTCATCACTCCACCACTAGACCGGTCCGAGCCCGAATCACCGTGGAAACACCCTGAGAGGTAAGAGGGCAGTAGGACAACATGACGTTTGGTCATCACCTAGATATTCAGCATCAGGCTGATGACCATTAGAGACGGTGACCAAAGTAGGAAGTTCACAAAAATGTACTTTGCACTTGACAGTCTTGTAGAGGTTGTTACCAGTTCATTGAGTTAATACTGCTGGGACAGTGTTCTGGAAGGCAAAAAGAGTGATAAAGATGGAGAGAGTGAGAAAAACGGGGAAAGAGAGATACAGAGAGAAAAGGTGAGAGATGGGGAGTGAAAGATAGAGAGATGGAGGCCAGAGTTTGAGAAAAAGAGGGGCAGAGAGCTCTGCTTAAACATAAGTAGGTTGTGTTTTCGGTATTTGGTTGATTCTGTTCTTACTGAGGCTTCAGTGTGTGGGTGAAGTGGATAGAAACAAATCTCTGCCCCAGTGAGCCAGCTGAGCTGAGGAGAAAATAGAGTGAGGGTGGATTAAACTGTAGAAACACTCACAGCAGCACTGAGCATTCCTGCACACACTGGAGAGGTTGTCAAGTGTACCACTGGTTTAAGACTGAGAGTAGTGTTTTTTAAATTAGTTTTATAGGTTTTAATGCTGGATGGAGGGCTAAGAAAAGTTGTTGTGAGTTGAGGAAGCGCTTTTGAAAGCTACTCTGACATACAGTTTCAGGAATTTTGTACAGCTGGAACCCAAAAGGTCAGAGTTTACAGGCCATTCACATTACAAGAGATAGAGATATATACGGGGTATACCATTTTAACTAATTTGGGCCACTAAAACGAACTGTACGTTGTATCGATTTCTTGACGTACGTGGTAGATATGGTGGCTTTTGTTGGGGTTATCCTCTTATTTTTATTTTTTATTTTTATTTAACCTTTATTTTATCAGGGAGTCATACTGAGACCAAGGTCTATTTTACAGATGAGCCCTGAGTTACATAAATTACAGAAAATACACACATCAAAATATAAATTCAAAATGCAAGCAGAAAGAAAAACACGGTCATAAAAAACAAACATTCATCAGATTAATTTAACACCTTTAATGGTACGCATACTGCCTCATTTATCACAACATGTCCAAAGTGAACAACTGATCCCAAATTTTGGACACAGAACAGCAGAGGAGCATTAAAAGATTAAATAGCCAGGCCTCCCCTGGCACTCGCATCCACCTCACTTAAAGATCCATCATTTCTCCAGATTTTAATGGCTTTTTAATAGCAGTGAGTTAACTGTGTCTAGGGGTTAGTCTTAAATACATGTGCCCTCACCAAAGGCTTCACTCACTGGCACCACTCAGCTCTGGTTTATCCTTGAAACAACTGAAGCCGATTTCTCCTGGAAATATTTAGATGTTCTAATTGTCCACTTAGTTACAGAATGTTAATACTACAAACCAGACAGCCCAAGCAATGAACTTTGGGGTCAGTCATATTAAATAAATGTATGGACAAACTGACAGCTGATTAACCTATAAGAGTTAAGATAAGGGACAACACTGAAGCCCTTTGTGGAACGGAATTATAATGGACCACAATGAATAATCAGTGAGCTAATAATTTCAGAGCACCAGTGACCTTGGTCATGGAAATCGACAGGGTTCTAAAAAGTGCAGGCAAAATCAAACACTCAATAGCTGGTCTCTGAAAGAGATGGAGCCTGGGGGCGATACCTTGATGCTGCAGTAGCCGATGCATACGCGCCCAACGTATCTATCTGTATGGGGATTGGGGGAGGATGCTGTGAGAGAAGCGCGGGGGGTCGCGGGGGATGCAATGCATTTCAGTGGCGTTTATGCCAATACTTATTGCGTCTGCTCTAGTTAACTTCAGACAAATTTGCCTTTAGGATCGATAATTCCGACCGACACCCACCACACACACCCACATAAACGCGAATCTCTTCCTCCTTCAAATTAAACCGATGAATTACTCGCGACGGGTGGCCGCTTGGTTGAGTTCTCTACCTGTGAATGTAGTTCAAATAATATGTGGCCGCTTCGGTAAGTTGGAGATGATATCCTTCTGGTTGCTCTGTTGGAGGCTGCTGGTAGGTACCAGATATTTTATGCTATCCACGTATGCTGTATCTTTTCGCCACGGCCAGCTTGTTTTGATTGGCAGCATGCTCAAGGCTTGGATGGGTACATAAATCACATGGATTTTGCTCGGCTACGGCAAGTGAGTTTATCTGTCACCATTCTGGGCATTTGCTGGTCGGTGCATGTCTATTTGCTATCTACATCACCCTGCAGAATAGTGGAAATGTCTGTAATTTGCGCAGTGGGCATTTTGCGCGTGACTATTTTATCTGTCGTCCAAAATGTCCTTGGTCCTCAGCCATATGACAGGTGGTTTGCCTTTATAATAATATGCCATTTAGCAGACGCTTTTATCCAAAGCGACTTACAGTCATGTGTGCATACATTTTTACATATGGGTGGTCCCTGGGATCGAACCCACTATCCTGGCGTTACAAGCGCCATGCTCTACCAATTGAGCTACAGAGGACCACATCTTTATGAAAGAAAAGTGTCACTTTAAATTAAGGCATTTTTCACATTATCAGCAAAGCAATTCATTCTCATAAACATATTTGCTCTCTGAGATTACCTATAATTGTATTTTCACATTCTGGCTCCTTTTCCCATTGGTTGGGTATCCTGGGAAAATTGTGAACAGGTTATTCAGAGTACATCACGCAACCATTGATGCAACAAGGGAAGGGGTGTGAGGGACTCTCCTCATACTCAAAAATCAAGTCATCTTTCAGTTGTATTTTCTACCTCCCACATAACAGAACTGAGGGATTTCATCCTGCTGTAACCAGCTGTTGATATAATCATTGCGTCTGCAGATGATCAAAGCAGTAAAGCTATCTTGGCTGTGCAGACAGCAGACTTCATTTTGCAATGATTGAGTAGAAAACAGAACACATTACCTGTAGGATGTGCTGGTCCATCTGCCTACAGCAGACCACGTGGTCATGATATAACAGTACACATGGACAACACAAAGATACATGGCCATGTAGGTGAAATTAGTTGCTGATAGCCTGGCAGGTGAATCCATCCCTAGTTAATTTGACCTTCTGCAAAGCACTCAAATATATTTTCAAAGTGTACTGTACATGTAAACATTCATAATGCTATTCAGTAAAATATTTCTTTATGTGTGTGTAAAGTAAAGCTTCCCACTGGGCACAACCTGGTTGAATCAATGTTTTTTCAACGTAATTTGTCAAGGTATTGTGATGTGGAATCTAAATGAAAAATACATTGGTTTGCAAAAAGTCATCAAAACTATTGTTTTGAGGGTAAAATTTCAACCACAGAATTATGTCATCATGGTAACCAATTTTCAACATAGACAAACCTATGTTTAGTTTGTACCTTTGAAACAATGTCAGATCTTCAATGTTAAATCCACTATCAGAAAAAACAACTATAGGCCTAGCAGCACCTCCTACTGGAGAGTAGATGTATCTACAGTGATGCATTTGGTCTCCCATCCAGGGGTTTAACCAAGCCCAGCCCAGCTTTGATATTTGTCACTAACTACTACCAATGTACTACCGTGAGAATGATTATTTAGAGATTTCTTAATAACTAAATATATTCACTATTGCTATCGAAGTCATTCCAAAGGGTAGGGTTAACAGTGCAAATGAAATGTAACCATACTGTATAAGCATTTGCGAAGAAATCAACATCTATTGTTACAATTCAGCCCAGGGTTCAACTAAAAATAGACAATACATATATCCCTAGGGTTTCAAGCTTTAGTTGATGTCAAATTTAATCTTCAAGTTAATAATAAATATGTTGGATTCACATCTCCATTTCAACCAGAAAATCTAAGTTAAAGAACAGGACTAAATCAAATCAAACTTTATTTAAAGTGCATTTAAAGTTTGATTTGATATAGTCCTATTTTTTTACTTCGATTTTTGGTTGCGATGGAGACGTGAATAAAACAAATAAATGATTAATTTGTAGACAAACTGGAATTAAAGTCAGACTAAGCCAGTGGCATAAAATATATATCTCCATCAAATGTTGATATTTGGTTGCGTTGACAACCAAACACAATTCAATCTCACTTTTGCAATAAAGTAAATAGCCTATTAACTTGTCTACAAGTTAACACATTATATGTTGGATTCACATTTCCAACTAAACCAAAAAATAAAAGTTAAAGAATAGGATTAAGCCAGTGGCTCAGATGAAACTATCCAAGCATTAGATACATCTCCTTTAAAATGTTGATATTTGTTTGTGTTGTCAACCTAACACAATTCAATATGACTTTCGTAATACAGGAAATAGCCTAAAGTTAAGGCTATGTAACAGTTTTTATTCAACCTTAAAATGAGCAACTCATACATGGCCACATTTTGAGGTTACTATAACTCTAAAAGTCTTATTATGTAATCATAGAAAGTGTGCATGTTCAAGATAGCATGCAAAGGTAGCAGGTCTGTGGAGATCTTCACAATATAAATATCTGTGCAGATACTTTAACAGATATTGTAATATAATCTAAACTACAATCCAGGTCATTTGGTAGTGCTATTAGATATAGCACAGTGATAAAAAAAATTAAATTAAAAATATGCCATTTAGCAGACGCTTTTATCCAAAGCGACTTACAGTCATGCGTGCATACATTTTTTGTGTATGGGTGGTCCCAGGGATCGAACCCACTACCTTGGCGTTACAAGCGCCGTGCTCTACCAGCGCCGTGCTCTACCAGCTGAGCTACAGAGGACCACGATAACACATTAAGTTGTTGTATAAATACAAAATATCTGACATTGTATTCCCATTTTAACTTTGTTGTGTTTTTAAATGGTTGAAAGTGAAGTGATAACACATTGGGAATTCAACAAACTTATAGCTGGGTTAATAAAGGTTGAGATCTCATTGATCAACGTCTCAACCAAAAATTAGCCACATTTCTATGTTGAAATCACGTGGTGTGCCCAGTGGGTTAGGCTATGCTACTTTTTAACACATGTCCCTGCTGTATCATTCAAGATAAATCTGGTCCATCTGGCAGATCTAGCCATTACTGGTATTGCAGAGAGCTTACTGTACATTTAATACTGCTCTATGTACATTAAATATGACCCAGAGGATAAAAAATATGAAAAGGCATCTCTCTTACAAGCTGCTCCCAGGAGGGCTTGGATTTTCATATCAGCAAGTTTCTAGGCAACCGTTCCAAAGCTATATTTATACCATATACAGTACAGCATGTTTGCTAAGAGATTCACACCAAGTGGACTTGATCTCCAGCCAGAAAGCAGTCAGAAACACCAGTAAGATGGGAGGAATAGTTTGTATGGTGGTGCACTGGAGAAGTAAAACTACTACAAGTTAAGCGCTTCCCATTGGAAACTATACAAAGAAACCACTCCAACCATCGGCTTTAGGATTGACACACCATTATGGATGAATGACCAGTACAGCTTGAATTCAGGTCTTAGTACAGTGTTGTGGATGGAGGCTGGGTTGGATGCCCTGAGGGCTCGAATGTACTGATTCCCTGTACTGCAGTACCAGGACCCAATGTTCAAACGCTATGGGGACACAACCGAAATGGCGGAGGCGAGGTATTTCATCCTTACATAATGGATCCAATTTGTTCTTTCAGATGGGTTTATTCTGTTCTCTGCCCAATGCCATTGTCACAGTACGCAGTGCCATATGTGCGCAAACAAACAAACAAACACACACAAACATGTGCAACGCTTTCATTATGTTTTTGTTTATCTTCAGATAAAGCAACTGTCGATTCTTTGCAGATATGTGGTCTCCAAGCTTTCAAACAACTTAGGCAATAAGCACACTATGCAGCTTGACTTGAAAAATAAGTGCTGTCCAACTGGTGGACAGTAGCCTATGCCAACTCCAATGGTGTGAATTAGCAGTGTTGTTGTGTGGGTGTATTCACTATGCAATACATGTTGTCTTAGCAATAGCTAGGTATGTTGATTAGGGATATTGTGTGGGGTGTTTGTGTGCAGGCTGATTTGCACACATCCCCTAATCAAGAAGTCAGTTTTAATCACATGTAAACTGTTATTAAGGGTCACAGAAAATGGTCTGGTCACCATATTTCATGCATACATGTACTGCATGTAGACAGCTTGCATCTCTTGCATGAAAACCTCATCCAAATGTTCATCTAAAGACACATACAGTATGTATGAGAACAAGCCCATCTCCCTTCACCTAGACATAAAAATGTATGTATGTTAGCAGCGTGTTCTTTTTGACATCCACGTGTTATCCCTGGCAGAATCACATGCTTGGCTGTGAAACGATCGAAATCATGCTAATTCTCACCCACTTACAGCGATGCCATGCTCGGTTTGAAGCATGTCTCATGGTGTTTTATGCTTTCAAAAGATTTCCTCCCACCCTCTGGGAGTACCAGAGTGAAGATGGCGTTTTGATGAAATGAAAGTGGCGTGGTGAAGCCCTTGTGTGTCTGCTAAATGACTAAAATGTAAATGTTAATATCAAAGAGAACCAAAATGATAACCAGTTACTGTGGTGGGTGTTAAAAGGATAACATTATACCACCTATAAGGAAAAACTATATATTTTTACATGGAACTGAGGGTACTGGCTGGTATAGGTGTTTCTTAATTTGAGATTCAATATCTAAGGAATTCCACTCGCCACCACACTTCATCAAAACTGCCATCGAAGAAAGACAAACATAGAAATACATCATACCAAGACAGTTTCAGTAGGCTATCCATTGATCTATTCAGAATACATCATACCAAGACAGTTTCAGTAGGCTATCCATTGATCTATTCAGAATACATCATACCAAGACAGGTTCAGTAGGATATCCATTGATCTATTCAGAATACATCATACCAAGACAGGTTCAGTAGGCTATCCATTGATCTATTCAGAATACATCATACCAAGACAGGTTCAGTAGGATATCCATTGATCTATTCAGAATACATCATACCAAGACAGGTTCAGTAGGATATCCATTGATCTATTCAGAATACATCATACCAAGACAGGTTCAGTAGGCTATCCATTGATCTATTCAGAATACATCATACCAAGACAGGTTCAGTAGGCTATCCGTTGATCTATTCAGATTCGTTATTTTTTCTCTCCCCCTTATTCTCCCCTTAACGTGTTTTATTTGACTTCCATAGAGAGCCACAGCTGGAGTGAAGAGGATAAAGGGGAATGAAGTGAGAGAGAGCTGCAGTGCCAGCAACACTCCACAAGAGAAACAACAAGAACAAGAATCCCACTCTGGGGCCGTAGCCATGGAGACCAGCCAGCTTTCAGAGATGGATGACCGAACAGACAATAAAATGGATTCTGGGGAAACGGAGGACCAGAGACGCCTGCTTAGCGAGAGCGAGGAAGAATGTGACCAAGAACCTTTCGCAGAATACAGAGGAACAAAAGAGAACATAAAAACGTCAGTGGATGAACCAGACGAGGATAATGAAAGTGGAGATGGAAACAGAGAGGAGGGGATTCTCAACTTTGGGACAGGACAAGATGACTTCAGTCTAACAGAGTTACTCAACTCCTCAAGTATATTTGGAAGTGAACCCATTTGTAAGGTGGAAGACCTGCTTGCAGAAGATGACATGGACAACTCTGCTCCATCAGAAATGACGGTGACACAAGAGTCCATCTTGGAGCAGCTTATCCGAGAGGAGGTCTCCTCCGACGTCTCAACGGGGTCCTGTCACGACCTTGACCGAGACGACCTGAGTGACTGTCTCCAGGTAGAAATGGCCATTGTGTCATCTGACAGCGAGACTGACGAACAATGGAGGTCCACTTTTGCATCTACAGTCAACAAGGAGGAAGGGTGTGACGGAAATGCTCAAGATGCTCTCGAGAAGGACAGAGCCGCAGGGGAGGCAGAGAATGGGGCCAAGGATGAAACTGCGGATAGTCCTCACAAGCTTGAACAACCCGATTGCCCCACAGAATGCGAGATCCAAGACCAAGATATGTCCTCTGGCCAGTTCCAGGGCTTATCAGAGATTCCAGAGGATGAGGAAGAGGCCAGCCAAGGTGGGACTTGCAAAGTACGTCGTTCTACATCTGCAAGCTCTTCTGCAAGCTCTGACCCTGACAAGAAGGTTCCTCAAGACTACTGTGTGATACAAGAAATGACGAGCAAGAACGTTAGTACAGAGCATGTGGACTTCCAGGGGGCTCGGAAGCAGTGGCGCCAAATGGAGGAGCAGACCAAAGGACAGGTCCAGGTCCACCACCCCACTGTCAGACAGCAGGGGACGTGCCAGGGAGGCCACAGCGCCATGTACACACCCGTCAGGAACATCGACCGACCCAGGAGGGACCCCGAACTCGACAGCCTCGCCCTGGGCGACTTTCATCACACCCAGTTCAGCCCATGTTCAGAAGACTCAGGTCTGGATGACCTCAGCTACAGGTCCCCTTACGAGGACTCAGACAACCCTGTCGAAAGGGAGATACGACAGACCATAGAGCGTGAGGAAAACTTCAGGCGGGAGAGAGGGATCGCGAAACAGGGTCAAGCTGGAGAATCATCTGCGCATCCCAGACCAACTACTCTCTACCCCGGCAAGTACGGGAAAGGTTTTTGCCAGGAGGTGGAGGAGAAACGGAAGATGTTTGACTCTAGTGATCCCGGATGCAGGCCATTGAGGTCTCCCGACGCAAAAAACCCAACCTTCTCCATAGCCACCTCCCCCTCACCCACACCGAGGGGTGCGACCTACCACGAGATGACCGCCCAAAACGTGATCATCCTGGAGCCAGACTCCTACCCCACCAGCCCAAGGCACCGCACCCGAGGATCCCTGCTCTCCCCGGGTCCCAGCCGTTACAGCGAGTGGCCTTTGGAGACGTCAGCCAACGTCATCATTCTGGAGACGTCCAACCTGATCATCCGGAGCGCCTCAGAGTTCTGCCTGAGTTCTGCCTCCTGCCAGGAGACCCAGGAGAGCACATTTGTCAACAACCCCTTCTTCAAGCTGCGCTCGCGGAGCTCCATGTCCCTGGTGGACCAGGAGATTAAGATGGTGAAGCAGAGGGAGGAGGAGTGGAGGAGGCAGAGGAGCCAGATGCACACCAGGGAGAAGTATGACACTGTCGTGGTGTCCCCCAACCTGGAGAACCTGAGCTTTGATACAGCAGGTATGTGCTGATGACTGATGAAGAGCACAGTTAATATGGGAAAGAGTTTGTGGTTTGTAGCTGTGTTATGTTTTCATTGCATCACTAGTGGTCACCACTAGTCCAAATTCATGATGTCTCTAATCATATGAATGTATGAGCATTAATGGTTTCTCTCTCTTCTTCAGAAGTGCCACTGAAATGTGTGTCTTCCCCTTCATCACCATCAAGGACTCGAAAGCTGGACCGCTCTGCCCTGTCATGTGACCATAGGGTATGCCCTATCTTCTCCAATAACAATTAATCAACGAACAGATGCTAGCCTAGTCACCTGATCAAATGTTTGTGCTTTAGTCAACTCCCCTGTGGTGTTCGTTGTCATCCGATTGCCTCACTGAATGTAATCTGAATGCCTCACTAAATAACAATTGCATGTGTTCATGTTTAATTGTGTTCATTACATTTTCTGAAACAGTTTTTTCATTACAAACCATTTTAAACACCATCCATTTTCACCTTGAAACTGGAAACTGCATGCAGTTTTACAGGTGAAACTCTTTCCCCCAGTTCCCAGAATCACTCTCCACAGGACCAAGGAAAAAGAACGCCATGGCTCAGAGATGGGAGGCAAGACTACTTGTCAACCATGAACAAGAGTGAAGAACATCAAACCAGAATAATCCCATTCCATATTACTACAGCTTCCAACTTCCTGAACTTTGCTAGATGTTTCCAGTTCTACTATTGATACAGCTTGAATATACATATTCATTACCGGTACTGTACTTTTAAAGTTATTGTGAAATAAATATGTAATATGTAATTGGTATTGTAAGAGATATGACACAATGTAATGAACATAGATGGACTACCGGATGAGTACGTTACAATATTGTCCAGTTAAGGTCTTTACATATTTTTAAGTACTGTCTTGGTTATACAAAAGAAAGATATTTATGGTATTTTCGTATTGTATTTTCTTCTAAATAGAGTTTTAACTAAAAAGGCTATAAGAATATTATGAGAAATGTGGTAATCCAAAGCAGTAAAAAACAATTATATCGCTGGTCTAAAATAAAGTATGTATGTATATTATGCTTACCTGTATAATTAACTTCATTCAAAATGTTTAATATGATAGCCATTTATAGTATAGGATATTCAAAGCTTGACCTGACATTGCCGTTTTGAGATGCCTTTTTCAACTATATTACTGTTTTTTATGCTTCAAAATGTGATATATTTGGTTTGCAGCTGGTTTAGTTTTACGTACTAAACTAATCCAAAACTCCAAGGTGAATACTTGAAAGTTTAAATTGCATTCTCGGTTATTTTAAGTGTTAAGTTGTTTCATGGAGATTTCGCTTTTGTTTAGTTTTTGTTATTCTCAATTGATAATTCTGCATCAAAATAAAGTTGTATTGACATTAAGGAAAATAATTGACTTTGTCCTCTTGTTACCTAGACATGTGTGTGCCTGTAAGCATGTATGGTTATGTGTGTTGATTGGGTTATTGACTGGGAAGTCCTCACTAGCAATAACACCAATAAAATAAAACCACATGTACAGTAGTCACAGGATGGGATAGTTAACTCTACAAATTCATGCATCATTCAATTATACAGTATTATACTACAGAATAAATTCAGTTTTGGAAAGATATCTGACATGCACATAAAAGTTGAACAAAAAGTGATTTATTTTATGCATTTCAATTTACAGCATAAATAGTTACATTAAAATGCTTTTCTCAATCAACCTTTCATATTTTTTTTATCTGAAATTACAAGATCTATATTTAAAGTGGCCTGTATGAATTTAGCTGCATTGCATTGAGTATAACAACTTTAAGGAAACACTTGATTTAGACTAATTATAGTTCTCTTTTCAACAAAATGTGATTTAAATGTGATTTAAAATGTGATAGATTTACAGTACTGAGAAGTTGGGATAATAACATTAGTACAAAATCAATAGTGCAAAAATGCTTTTGGTATGTGTGTGTAAAATTGATAAGCTATCCAGTAAAAATATTTTTTGTTTAAAATATTCCCTACCATTTCCTGTCCCTCGATCCAGAGATTTACATCTGGTTCAGTGCCTTGATCTGTCTGTGGCTGAATCTGAATAAGAATCTGGATCCTTCATCATTCTAACAGCCAGTGAGTTGTCTTGTACCATGAAATGGCCATCCTCACAGTTTTGTCACAATACACCGATGGTGTAAATAAAGCTGACTAGGAATCCGCTATTCCCAATAACAAAGGCAACCATTTTGAACCATGCATCCTGTGAAAAAAGGATGACATTATATTAAATTGTCAAAAGTGCACAATTAAATCATATCCGCATATGATATCCGACAAATAGAAAGTCTCTTTGCACCAATCTGTCAAGACATAATATGAAACTGTTAATGAGTAGCTAACAAACAGCAGCTGATTAGGTTCTGGGGGCCAAGATTATACTTTGCACAATCAGTTACTAGTAAATACCATATATTTATTCATGAACAGTACAGCTTCTTGCAGTATCTAGTCAGACCAAGACGACTTCATCAAAATATCAGGTCCAGGAGAAGAGTTCCATCCTAACTATCCGTCATTGGCTTTAAACCGGAATTCTTACTGGCCCTTACACTTCAAATCACTTCAAAGCTTCACAGAGATAACTCTTAAGTCTGTGCTTATGGCCTTACCCAAGTGCTGCCCTCTGAGTGGTCAGCAAGAATCCCCTGCTGGTCATCAGGGTCACTCGTTGTGGAAACAAGGTCACAACATCACATAACAGGAAATTGGTGCTGAAAAGCTTTTTACCTTTGAATATTGAATATATTGAACAATGACAGCTCTTTCTACAGAATGTGATCAATCAGGTACACAACCTTTAACCTGCTATATATGTTAAAATTAATGGAAAAAGTGCATTGTCTGAAAATAAGGGATAAAATCCTATGACTTACTGGTCATTTTATATATTCAAGCAACAGACCTATCAATCATGAAACAACTCACGTGTTTTAATGTAGCCTTTTTTATGGTGCCCAAGGAACACCCTCAAGAAGAAACCCTGCCAGAACCCCCAGCCGCCAGGGGTGAGGCAGACTGCTGACCCATCCCCAAAAACATGGCCGCCACTGCATCAAAACAGGAAGTGAGCATCACATGAGAAGGGTCGTCACTAGCTTCTATAGCCACAGTCACAAGCCATGCCCATTTCTACAATTTATCTTCTTAAAATTAGATTTTAAACCTAACCTTATGCCTAACACTAACTTTAAATTAAGACCAAAAAGCTCATATTTGTTGCCAATTTTGACTTTGTGGCTGTGGAAACTGACTTTGTGGCTGTGGAATGTGACTTTGACCTGACCAGGAAATTGATGTGCCCAAGTTATAGATAGGACCAAGAGATTTTCCTGTTAAATTCAGGAAACACTACTGGCTCTAAACAACAATTATTCAATGATGGGAAGTGGTCATAATCAGCTAACTGCGCAGTAACAGTGTCATTTAATATGATACAATTAGGATAAGGTATGCATTTTAAGTTGACTATCAAATAGAAACAAATATATCTTCTAAAAGAACAGAAGAAGTTCCAGAAGGTGGACTAACCAGCCATAATCTCAGCAACAGTGCCGGCTCCCCAATACATCCAATTAAACACCCACCTCCTGCATAGAGAGAACAGCTAATCAGTGGTAAGAATACAGGTTAATAATAGAAGCACACATTATAACAGCCATGGAGAGGATTTACAGAAAACAACAGCACCCCATTAAACACAGCATCCATCCACACATGACATACACAGGTAATAACCAAACATCCACACCAGCAGTTTAGAGAAACCTTATTTTGCAGCATCAGCATCTTTAGAGTATGATCATGTATGAGATGTAGATGAGAGTTGGGCTTTATCTGGAGGAGTCAGGGGGAGGTCTGAGAGAGGCCATTATGGGCTGAATGAGAGCCAGGGCTGGGGCAGTACAGCCCAGGAGATGACAGGCACAGTAGCGGTGCATGGGTAAATTCACTGTGTTGTGATAATTGCGTTGTTTGCTCTATAACCTTAGTTCATATGCCTTGACACCGTGACAATAAGAAGACACAGTGGCAGAATAAATTCAACCACACCTTTGTTTCATCACAAAACCAGAGAGCAACAGCTGTCTGGTGAAATCCACAAAGCATATGGTATGCAACTAACAGTTAAATGACCTACGGCATGGTCAAGCAAGTTAATGTTTCCGACATTTTCGGACTACTAAACAACTATTGATTTAGAACCACAGAGAGTTACCGCAAGTCGCAAAGAAAACAGAAGTTGCCTCCACTATTCCAGCACCATTTCAACTTTAACATTTCAACATCATCAAATCGCCTATGCTTAGTCTAATACAGTGACAACTAAGATACCAAAAACTATTTAGTCCAATAAATGTAAGCTAGATATGATGTGGCTGTCGATGGTACTGATTTCTCTGTGTGTGTGTGTGTAATTGTGTGTGTGTGAGTGACTGAGTGCAAGTAGAAAAAACATGTTGACTCACCCTACTTGTAGAGAAAAGCCAATGCCATCCTCCTCTCTTTCATGACTCTACATACATACAGTGCACGCCTTTAGATTTTGTTGTCCTAGGCTACCTGGCTAAAATGCTTGCTTGCTTGCTAGCTAGCCTAACTTCCTTTCATGGGCAACGATGTGCCAAGCCAGCTAGTTAACATTAGCCTACTACATCTAGTTACATATTGAACTTCTGTCCTCTCAGGCCAGCGGCACAATGTATGAATTTATGATTAGATCAGAATCGCCATTATAATCATAGGCTAGCATGGAGAATTAAGTAAAACCACAAGTCCAAATCCCTATCTCCATCCATGGCTAATTTAGGAAAGGGACAATTTTAACTAGCTAGCTAGCCACCGGACGACAACAACACAACGAGATGCAACAATTCAAGTTTTTTCTGTAAATGATATGTTGGTTTTGATGTAATGTGATTGGTGTGAAGCCAAATCCAAACTGGCTTCCCTTGCATTCAATACTACAGGTGGAAACAATGTCATACTCTTTTTGACCAGACAGCATCAGATAGATGGCCTACACGTACTGAGACAGAGGGGCGCTGTTTCGCTCCGCTCGGATGCTTTTTCCAATTAAATACATGTGAAATACTTGTGAATTGAAGGAAAATTAGGAAACACAGAGAGACGAAAGATCAATTATTGTTTGGGGGAAGCCTGGCTTCCCTTGGCATCCATGAGTACACGCTACTGGATAGGCAACATACTGTACATAAAACAATGTTTCCACTGACAAGATATGATGCCCTCTGCTGGCAAACCAAAGTTAAAGCAGGGCATAACATAGCAAGAGTGAGGCAGAGTAAGAGGGGGACCTGTATGTTTGCTGTAGCTCACCTTACACTATCCACCTTTGTAGATGAAAGGAAGAGTGAAGGTCACACAGATAAGCAGCACTGTTAACACCATCAACCCTCGATGCACCTGAACAAACACAGGACACATACACTGTATCTTTGATGCTTATCACCTTCAAGCAGTGACATATCAATATAAGGAGACAGCTTATTGTCCATGGACAGTATATTGCCTGAGCCGTTACGTCTACAGCCTGTACATCTTTAACCTTTTACCACAGATGTTACATTTTACTTAATCAGTTTGTTGTTACATACTTGGAACCTCATTTTCTGACAGAACAATGTTTTCTCTGGGCAATCAGGTTTGAAGTAGCTGGCTATGAAAGTGCCCGTGATTCCAGCCAACATCCAAGAAATCAACATGAGAGTGCTTGATATTGCAAAATAGATAATGTAAACAACTTTAGAGTACCCTTAATCATTCACAAATCAAGTCAATTAATGCCATATATATCAAATTGTTGACGAAAGTCTAACATTATACATTGAAATGTTTTCACCGACAGTTCTGTGAAGGGTACATTCTTATGTATTTGTTTGCCTGCTATTTTCAGTGTCCAGTCCACTCACTGTGAAATTTCATGAGGAAGGGTGATCGGGAGCCAGTGAGAATCTCTGCTGGGACATTGATGACCTTCTGCCGTGAGGATATGAGGGGTTAGCGGTCATGCCTCTGCACTTCGCCTCAAGACAATAGTCACAGAGGGGGATGAGTTAGCAGCAAGTCACTTACAGAAAGTAGGCTTCTTATACCATCAGTGACATATACTGTGACTAATATGTCAGTGAAGGTGACATACAATGGGTAGACACCATCGTTAGAAATAGGGCCAACAATTCATAAGATGCATGCTGTTGTATGACAGCATGACTGGAAGCCATTTCAGAGGCAGAATTACTAAATCCTTTCGCCAACCTTCATCCAAAAAACCTTTAATCTATATTCTCCATTCTTTGACAGTTTATCATTACCGTCATAAACAGGTCATAAAGTGGCCATTGAGGGAAACATTTATTTATTTTCTCTGCAATGTATCTAAATGATAGAACGCCTCAATCTAGATCTCCACATATTCTATTGATACCACAATTTATCTGACATTTACTGTAAATGTAGTCAGTAGCAGATGCTCAGACAGAACAATGAGCCAGATGTTTCACCGGATGTATATATCTGGTTGGAATTTCCACTTACCACCAAATATGGTGATGAGAGGAAGCCCAGTGGCCTGCAGTGGGAGAAGATGGATTTTGGCCGACATTCTGCACATTTTCTCATCAACTAAACATTTTTTGTTCCCAAAACTAGAATATCTTACAAACAGAGTGCACTATGTTTTAAAGACTTTACCTTTTGCCAAAGTTTTTTAAAATTGCATTGTTTAAAAGAAGTGCAAGCGCGAATTGAGTCATTGCACACACGCACTTCACAGTAGGCGTTTCCTAATGGAATATGCAAATACCTGCTAGAACGTGCCAATAGGATCTCGCTAGCTCGTGCTTGGCTCTGCCCACCTCCTTGCTTGTTCTGCCCAGTATGATTACTTTGCTCCCTTTGGAAATGACAGTCTACGGTCTATCTTGGGTTAGTTATAAACATGCGTGGGTGTCATTAAACAATAATGTGACATATATGTTTGATGAGACTTTTCCCCAGGGGCAGTAAGACAAGCCAATCTCAAACCACAAACCCCTTGACCTCATGGAAGAAAGAAAACATTGACATTACATCATTGAGAACTAGGATATAACTAGTAAAGCCAGGAAGCTGAGAAGACCAGATCAAAGTTGTATTTTTATTTTATGTACAAAGAAAGATATGTGTGGAATACAAAATCCACTAACAGATGTAATAAAGGAAACAATTTGAAATGAAGCACATCCTGTAAAGTAATCAGATACATATACAAACAGTTGTGTAAACAGTTATGCAACTGTATGCAATAGTAGAATGACAAGGGAGATAGCCTTAAAAACAGGTTATTGCAAGGGCAGTGTATTCCCAGGTGAATCAGCTACGTGGCCTAATCAGCTAAACAAGATAATGTGAAAGTATAAGAGGGTTTCACTTTCATATCAAAACCACTCAAGACTATATCACAGACCAAAACTACTTGTCCTAAAATGTAATAGCCTTATCACTGCATTTTCAATTTCTGCAATTTTGAGACCTCATCATATTGGAGTGGAAACCGACAAGACCACACAATGAATGTATATATCAGCAGTTCTCCAAGTGGGTTCCGCAGAGGTATTGCAGGGGTTCCACGGCCAGATCTCAAAATGTATATAAAAAAAACAGTTAACAGATTTTGGCCAAGAGATCCGTAGAACAAGTTTAGAGAGTGTAATATAATACAATGTAATATTATGAATCAACAATTTATATTCTTAACCCTGGGCAACATGGGCCTGGGAGGCTCACAGGGATATTGGTAGCAACAGTAATCCACCAATTAGTACTGTAATACAAAACTAAGTCAGAAACACATTCATCTTTAACTGTAAACACAGGTTTTCATTTTATGCTGTAGATTTTGATTGTGAGATACCACAGTAAGTTACATGGAAAGATATGTTGAGGAGAGAGAATGCTGAGGGAATCAGACAGAAGACCTGAACTGGGTACTGGATATGGAAATGCACCACATGAAGGCAGTGGTGTAAAGTACTACTTAAGTCATTTTATGGGGTATCTGTACTTTACTACTTATATTTTTGACAACTTTATATTTTACTTCACTACATTCCTAAAGAAAATAAATGTACTTTTTACTCCATACATTTCCCTGACACCCAAAAGTACTCATTACATTTTGAATGCTTAGCAGGACAGAAAAATGGTCCAATTCACACACATTTTCTATTAAGGTATCTTTACTTTTACTCAAGTATGGCAATTGGGTACTTTTTCCACCATTTTATTTGTATTTTATTACAATCAATATTAAAATAGTACAACAAGGATGTATGCTGGCAGGCTTGGGTTACCACAAAACACAGCTCTCAAAAATAAAATAATATGAAAAAAACTTTGACTCAACATATATATACACACTGTGTCATCCTCCGTCGCCCTAGGCTCCCTGCCTACAAGCGATCTCACTCCACACTCAGTTTGGCAAACATGGTTCTTCGCATGTGTTCTGCAAATCTGCATGCTGTCCTACACTGTCAGTGAAAGGTTGCGACGCTCCCTGGGTTGGTAGGGTGGCCATGTCCTCCTCAGCCTTTCTCTTCCTTGGGGAAAGGGTCAGTGTAAGATCTTTATCCTGTGGGACAAGGGCTTTCATTTCCTGCAATAGGCTTTGCAGATGTGAAGACAGGCCAGTCAGGTACTGTTCATCTTGAAGATGATAGGTGAGGTCTGTGATTTCTTTTAGATAGCCTGCACATTGCTTCTGCAACACCTTCAAGTTCTTCTTAGAGGACCTCTTTGGGATAAAGAATATATGTGTTTATCACAAAGGGGTAATTTATTAAACATTTTTATATAATTCTTTAGGTAGGACCGCATGCATATATATACATATACCTCGCCAACAAGTGCGTGTGAGCTATGCTCAGAGAGAGAGGGGAACCTGACGCAGTAGACAACCTCTGCCTTCACAGAGCTGGGTTTTTCACTTAGTGCTGCCTTCAGGTCTTTGGAGGCCTCCTTTTTAGAGCGAACAGTACTCTCCTCAATCTAGATAGGAAATAATGTGGTTGTCAAATGTGTACTGTTATGTACAGCGTTAGACTGTCACCTACAGGCCTAAACCTTGATATAGTTCTTCATATTTACCTTAAAACCAGGAAAGCGGATAATGTGGGCAATGTTTATTAAAGCCTTGCAGTCCACCTTCTTCGTATTTTGTTTCCGTCTCTTTAAGGCATGGTCTTCAAGCTATGGAAGGTGGCAAAACATTTAATAATAATTGATTGGACTTATATAGCAATTTGAGACACCCAAAGCGCTTTACAGTGTAGGGGGAACTCACCCACCACCAATGTACACGTAACTGCCAAAATAAAGGAAACACCAACATAGTGTCTTAATAGGGTGTTGGGCCACCACGAGCCGCCACAGCAGCTTCAATGCGCCTTGGCATAGATTCTACAAGTGTATTGGAGGGACGCAACATAATTTGGTGTTTTGTTGATGGTGGTGAAAAATGCTGTCTCAGGCACCGCTCCAGAATCTCCCATAAGTGTTCAATTGGGTTGAGATCTGGTGACTGAGACACAGCCCCTATGCTCCTTGGAGACCCCTCTTTCAAAGTCACAGATCTCTTCTTCTAGTCATGGTAGCCAAAATAATGGGCAACTGGGTATTTTTATACATGACCCTTAGCATGATGGGATGTTAATTGCTTAATTAACATTTACATTTACATTACATTTACGTCATTTAGCAGACGCTCTTATCCAGAGCGACTTACAAATTGGTGCATTCACCTTAAGATAGCCAGTGGGACAACCACTTTACAAATGTTTTTGTTGTTTAAATTTTGAGGGGGTGGGGTGGGTAGAAGGATTACTTTTATACTATCCCAGTTATTCCTTAAAGAGGTACCACACCTGTGTGGAAGCACCTGCTTTCAATATACTTTTTATCCCTCATTTACTCAGTGTCTCCTTTATTTTGGCAGTTACCTGTATCTCACCCACTACCATTTTGAGCCAGACGGCTCACCACACATTAGCTATCATGGTGGAGAGGCGAGGAGATACACTACCAGTCAAAAGTTTGGACACACCTACTCATTCAAGGGTTTTTCTTTATTTTAAAAATGTTTTACATTGTAGAATAATAGTGAAGACATCAAAACTATGAAATAACACATATGGAATCATGTAGTTACCAAAAAAGTTAAACAAATCAAAATATATTTTATATTTGAGATACTTCAAATAGGCACCCTTTCCCTTGATGACAGCTTTGCACACGCTTGGCATTCTCTCAACCAACTTCACCTGGAATGCTTTTCCAACAGTATTGAAGGAGTTCCCACATATGCTGAGCACTTGTTGGCTGCTTTTCCTGCACTCTGAATTTAGAAGTCAAGGCTCACTTAACCAGCATGGCTACCACAGCATTCTGCAGCGATACGCCATCCCATCTGGTTCGGGCTTAGTGGGACTATCATTTGTTTTTCAACAGGACAATGACCCAACACACCTCCAGGCTGTGTAAGGGCTATTTTACCAAGAAGGAGAGTGATGGAGTGCTGCATCAGATGACCTGGCCTCCACACTCCCCTGACCTCAACTCAATTGAGATGGTTTGGGATATGTCGGACGGCAGTGTGAAGGAAAAGCAGCCAACAAGTGCTCAGCATATGTGGGAACTCCTTCAATACTGTTGGAAAAGCATTCCAGGTGAAGCTGGTCGAGAGAATGCCAAGAGTGTGCAAAGCTGTCATCAATGCAAAGGGTGGCTATTTGATGAATCTCAAATATAAAATACTTATTTGGTTACTACATGATTCCATGTGTTATTTCATAGTTTTGATGTCTTCACTATTATTCCCTTGAATGAGTAGGTGTGTCCAAACTTTTGACAGGTACTGTATATGCCAATTAGAAGAATGATTATGGAATGAGGCCCAGTTGGGAATTGGATTTTAGCCAGGGCTACTCTTGCAATAAGTGCCATGGGATCTTTAGTGACCACAGAGGGTCAGGAAACCCATTTAACGTCCAATCTTCTTCAATTTCATTAAGGTACAGTCTATAGTTAGTTAGCCTAGTACACTTCAACATTATCGAAATGAAATTAATGTTGTAAAAGTGTATGGTAGAAATGACAGCGATCAGTCTTTGAACTTACCGCCTTCTTGTTCATTTTAGCAGCATGTTTCTCTTTAGCTTTTACTTGTCGGTCTTTCCCCTGATGGCATTCATATGTGCTTGTGCCCACAACCTGAAATGGAACTCCACTGAATGGGTGACTTTTTACCTCCCAGCTGATCTTCTTTCCTGCCAAAGGGTGTGGATCTGTTGAAGGACAAGAACCTGATATATTACTGTTGGGAAACTAACGTAGGGCGGCAGGCCAGTAACCGAAAGGTCGCTGGTTCGACGCCCGAGCCGACTAGGTGAAAAATATGTTGCTGTGCCCTTGAGCAAGGCACTTAACCCTAATTGCTCCCGTAAGTCGCTCTGGATAAGAGCGTCTGTTAAATGCAAAAATAAATAAATATAAAGTAACAAAGTTGCTCTATCCAAGAACTCCTCTGTGCTTGGAATGGAATCCCTTATGCTAGGAACTATTCAAAATTATGCCTGTTCCAGCTGGCTGATGGGCGTTATTAGATGGGTACTGTTTGGCGTTATTAGATGGGTACTGTTTGGCGTTATTAGATGGGTACTGTTTGGCGTTATTAGATGGGTACTGTTTGGCGTTATTAGATGGGTACTGTTTGGCGTAACACAGATCATTTGACCAACCTTAAATTGTCGATACTTCCCATCTTGGAAGATAACCAATGTCTTCTAAACATCCATGTCTAGTTGCAGGGGGTTCGTTTGAATGTATAAAATGATCAGAAGTCTACAACAGCTCAATACATTGGAGGTGCCATTTTTTCGGTTGCATGTAGCTTTTTTGGAAGTACATACCAGCCGTGACGGCAATAAATGACGATAGTAATCTAAACTCCATATTTGGTGAGTATCTAACATATTTTCACATTATTAAACTTGAAAAGCTGCTGAATGCCAAGTTGCATGGCTGCTTCCTGTGCTTAAAGGAGATTCGCCATATCAACGGCTCCTGTAAGGCTAGTCCTTGATCATGACTCTCAGTTCCATTACATTACAGATAAGTCATTGGATGAAGGTGTCTTCCGTACGGGGGAGTTTTGTTAAGAGCACAGCGCTCAATCTGAACATTAACATCTCGCTTGCGGTACAGTTTTGGAAGCATAAGGACCTTATCGTTCATATCAGCGAGAAACAAAATTCCAAAACAAAAGGTTAAATTGATACACACCTTGATAAGGTTAGGGTTAGCGTTCCCACACGGCCATATCTCCATGTTACAGCGCATGTTTACGGAAAACAGACAGAAGACAAGAGGCGACCACTGTGCTAATTAGCTATCTAACATGCTCGGAACACTTGTGTGTAAGCGTAACTCGGGAAGTGTCGTTTTGTCGGCTGGAGGCACCCATAGCTGTAGGGATCTGTGCAAAACTGCTACAGTATGTGTATCTTTCTATTTGAAGGATTCTTTCTCGCTGATGAAAGATAAGGGCCAGATGTTTCGAAAGGTGTATCGCAAGCGATGATTATTGATGTTTCTAAACGTTAAAACACAGCGTAGGGACTGTAGTTCACATGAGCTAGTTGTGGGCGACGCTATTGGCTGAAAACTGTAGGGCAGGGTTCTTCAATTCCGGTCCTGGAGGGCCGAAACACTTCTGTTTTTTATTTCTACCTGGTAGTTAATTGCACTCACCTGGTGTCCCAGGTCTGAATTAGCCCCTGAATAGAAGGAGAGGATGAAAAACAGAGGTGTTTCGGCCCTCCAGGACCAGAATTGAAGAACCCTTCTGTAGGGAGAAGGCAGAATGCTGCAAGAGTGTCTGTAAGGCCAGATTCTGGTTCAGCTAAACCCCACCTATTTCTACAACTTCTCTTCTGAAAATCTGATTTTAAACCTAACCTTAACCACATTGCTAACCTTAAGACCAAAAATCAATGTATTTTCTTCATGAATCTTTATCATACAGCCAATGTTCTCTTTGTGGCTGTGGTAACTAGTGACAACCTCCATTAACCTGTTACCAAATGGTCATGGCTAGAAGGGATCGAGCTTGTCAAATTAACTTAAAAAGTTTAAATGTTATGCATTTTAGCTAACCTTTTTCCGAACGTAATTCTCCTATTCTCCTAACCTGCTGCGTAACTTTTCCTAACCTGCTACGAAAAGTCAAATCTGACGTTAATTTGACCAAAGCTCGATCCCTTCTAGTCTTGACTGTTACAATCAGTTTTGCCAGGTCCAGCTAAAATTTCTAGCCCAATGACCTCTGAAAACCTGCGCACAAGGCCTGATAACTAGCCCCCCAAAACAATTTTGCAGCAAGAGAGGAGTTACCACTTGTCCATGAAACCCTTTTTCCATAAAGTTATTGAGCGAATTAAGAAGGAATATTTACATCAATTTTAACGACGTAGGCTAAGGAGGAAAATTTGGTTTTCCATCAAAATAATAATTCTTGCAAGTTTAAGAATATGTCGCAAAAGAAACCAGCATTCAGGGCTCAAACCACTCAGTTTATAATTGTAAATCAATCATGTTTGTGTATGTGCATAACTATAGATAAATCCGACGGGAGAGTTTGAGTGATGAAAGTTGGACAGAGGAGCTCAATCTCTGTGCAAGAAACACTTAGACGAACTTCCAAAAACGAATGTTTGGCTATTTTCTGGCAACTGTGCCTTCATTGTGTGAAAGATGTTAATACTACAAACCGTTATAAATGGCCTATTTGCGAGATTGACTTGTTATTTCAATAGGCATAGTCTACTGACTCAAATCTGGGTTTATAATTGCAATTCAACTCTGCCATGGTTTGCTGAGCTAGATGCCGGTAGCCTATAGCCCCTGAAAAGGACAACATCTCATTTCAGGGAAAAGTCCACAATGAAACTGACATTAAATGTGGATAATGATACATTCGCGATAGAGCTGTGACCATGATCACAATTTATAACTTCCAATTTAATTAACTAAACATGGCCATTAAGAATTGCATAATAACACAAGGCTACAACAAAAAACGGAATTATAGGCTATTTATTACATCTGTTTGCCAGCTCCAGGTAGGCTACACAAGTGGCACAAATTGATTTGCAATGACTCCAGTGATTTCAACATATTTATTGTACTGAATCAAATGGTAGACTACAGTAGCCTACAATGGCATATAAATTAATAGCCTACTTGACGGCCAACAGATGCAAATGTAGCCTATCATTGCCCACATTTAATGTCATTTTCATTGTGGACATTTGACCATGACAGAAGCACGCGAAGGAGTTCCATATCTCACATTTCAAATTTCCATTCGCCCAGCGCTCCAGACCCCAGAACTGAGCATCAGTAAACACTTCGCTTGATATGGTTAGCCATAAGAAAAGTCGACATTTGAATGCAGTTTACTTTAAACCACCTCTTACAGAATTTATCTAAAGAGCTCTAGTGCGCCTAAAGTCCTTTCCAATGCTTTGTCGCCGTTATATCAGTTCTAGCGCGTTAATATGTTTTATGGAAAAAGGGTGTCTCCATAATGACCAATCCAAATAGCCTACCTACAACTGTTAAAAAGTTGTCACGATGTGCTGCTCTGTCTCCTTGACTCAGCAGCAGTCTCTCAACGCACACACAACCATTCATTCATTCATTCATTCACTCACTCACTCACCGTTCACTGCCTGAGTCAGCAGCAGCAGGTTACAGTTATATATATATATATATATATATAAGAAATGCCATGGCGGCCGCGGCACAATTTAGAAGTAGCCCAAAAACCCGCCACATCGTTTTCAAAGTAGTCCAATTTGGCAAGACTACTGCGAACATGGCAACCCTGGTTACAATCTGCTAGCTAGCTTTAGCTCATTTTAGGAGGTGGAGTAAGTAGTTAGTGTGAAGGAAGAGGCAGTCCTTTACTAAATGACCAGACCAAAAGATACAGACCTTGTTAGCTAACTATTCCCACAGTATGTCTAGACCATTTTTTGTTACTGTATACCCCAGTGGTCTGGCGACACCAACTCAGCATACACAGTAAAAGCCACAGTGTTACTAGCTAGCAACGTTAACGTTAAACCATCTTTGATATAACGTTAGCCACTTCGCTCCGGGAGTAAGTAGCCTAGTACATCAGACGGTGATAGGCAACTAGCTTACCCTTTCGCCCAAAACGTTTGTCTTTGCGCAAGATTATGTATTTCAACGACGTTGTCTCTTCTTGTTTTGCTATTTCTTTAGTTATTTGGTCTTCACTATCAAACTCGCTAAATTGCAATGTTGCTGCCATTTTGAAAATGACGGGGTTATCACTGCCTCATCTGATTGGTTGGATGATGGTGCTTCCGACTTTGCAACTTGGACGAATAAAGCAAATCAGTGTGTTGTTTGATTTGATAACACTGAAAATGTTTCCTTATATTATTTTGGGATTTATCATTGGGTACATGGACAGTGAAAATAAATGACAACCATTCCAGTTTCATTTTTTGTTTCTGTGTAGGCTACTCCTGCACAGCAGGTGGTGCTATGTCTATTGACAGTGGACATGCAGCAGGCAAGAATGCCCCGTAGAAGATTGTTTACACTCGTTATATTGTTACCCTACCAAACACCGTCAAGTGTGGACTTTCACGATCATTGTAGCTGGTGTAGTTAAACATAATGGAAGATCGAAGCCTTCCTCGTATTGTGGTCATTGCACTGTCTGTGCTGATCTACATTTCTGCTTTAGCAATTAATGCTATGGCAGGCGCTGGAAAGGGTGAGTCTATCATGTAACGTAGCTAACAAAAACAAACAAAAAAGAAGCTAACTCATGTGAATTCAGTGTTGTAATTTACTATGTTTTAACTGTGTAGCGCTTCCTATATGGCTTTTCATACTAAACTGTTGGACAGGAAATAAACATTTTATGGCAGCACAGTTACCCAATGCCATTATTCTGTTATTTATTCTGAAGTAGAAGCATGAAATGTTCCTAGCTTCATGTTTAGCTAGGGAAATGAAGAACCCACCCTATTACACAAAGTCAATTACAACCTTGTCCTCAGGGGAGGATGTCTGGTGCTGGAGACTACATAACTGACACAAACCCTGTAGTTTCCCCATCAGTTACACTGTACTTGTTTTGCAATCTCCTCTCTCCTAGGACCATTCCATTCGAGTACAGGGAACATTTCCAAGAAGTATGAGACCGACATAACTCCGGCCGGATGGACCTTCTCTATCTGGGGGCTCATCTACTCCTGGCTGACTCTCATGCTCATCTATATCATCTCCTTTCTCTACAGAGGGTACAGACACAACTATTCACCTACAGTGGGGGAAAAAAGTATTTAGTCAGCTACCAATTGTGCAAGTTCTCCCACTTAAAAAGTAGAGAGAGGCCTGTCATTTTCATCATAGGTACACGTCAACTATGACAGACAAAATGAGATTTCTTTTCTCCAGAAAATCACATTGTAGGATTTTTTAATGAATTTATTTGCAAATTATGGTGGAAAATAAGTATTTGGTCAATAACAAAAGTTTCTCAATACTTTTATATGCCCTTTGTTGGTAATGACACAGGTCAAACGTTTTCTGTAAGTCTTCACAAGGTTTTCACACACTGTTGCTGGTATTTTGGCCCATTCCTCCATGCAGATCTCCTCTAGAGCAGTGATGTTTTGGGGCTGTCGCTGGGCAACACGGACTTTCAACTCCCTCCAAAGATTTTCTATGGGGTTGAGATCTGGAGACTGGCTAGGCCACTCCAGGACCTTGAAATGCTTCTTACGAAGCCACTCCTTTGTTGCCCGGGCGGTGTGTTTGGGATGATTGTCATGCTGAAAGACCCAGCCACGTTTCATCTTCAATGCCCTTGCTGATGGAAGGAGGTTTTCACTCAAAATCTCACGATACATGGCCCCATTAATTCTTTCCTTTACACGGATCAGTCGTCCTGGTCCCTTTGCAGAAAAACAGCCCCAAAGCATGATGTTTCCACCCCCATGCTTCACAGTAGGTATGGTTTTCTTTGGATGCAACTCAGCATTCTTTGTCCTCCAAACACGACGAGTTAAGTTTTTACCAAAAAGTTATATTTTGGTTTCATCTGACCATATGACATTCTCCCAATCCACTTCTGGATCATCCAAATGCACTCTAGCAAACTTCAGACGGGCCTGGACATGTACTGGCTTAAGCGTCTGGCACTGCAGGATTTGAGTCCCTGGCGGCGTAGTTTGTTACTGATGGTAGGCTTTGTTACTTTGGTCCCAGCTCTCTGCAGGTCATTCACTAGGTCCCCCCGATTTTTGCTCACCGTTCTTGTGATCATTTTGACCCCACGGGGTGAGATCTTGCGTGGAGCCCCAGATCGAGGGAGATTATCAGTGGTCTTGTATGTCTTCCATTTCCTAATAATTGCTCCCACAGTTGATTTCTTCAAACCAAGCTGCTTACCTATTGCAGATTCAGTCTTCCCAGCCTGGTGCAGGTCTACAATTTTGTTTCTGGTGTCCTTTGACAGCTATTTGGTCTTGGCCATAGTGGAGTTTGGAGTGTGACTGTTTGAGGTTGTGGACAGGTGTCTTTTATACTGATAACATGTTCAAACAGGTGCCATTAATACAAGTAACGAGTGGAGAACAGAGGAGCCTCATAAAGAAGAAGTTACAGGTCTGTGAGAGCCAGAAATCTTGCTTGTTTGTAGGTGACCAAATAGTTATTTTCCACCATAATTTGCAAATAAATTCATTAAAAATCCTACAATGTGATTTTCTGGATTTTTTTCCTCAATTTGTCTGTCATAGTTGACGTGTACATATGATGAAAATTACAGGCCTCTCTCATCTTTTTAAGTGGGAGAACTTGCACAATTGGTGGCTGACTAAACAAGTATTTGATACACTGCCGATTTTGCAGGTTTTCCTACTTACAAAGCATGTAGAGGTCTGTAATTTTTTATCATAGGTACACTTAAACTGTGAGAGACGGAATCTAAAACAAAAATCCAGAAAATCACATTGTATGATTTTTAAGTAATTAATTTGCATTTTATTGCATGACATAAGTATTTGATACATCAGAAAAGCAGAACTTAATATTTGGTACAGAAACCTTTGTTTGCAATTACAGAGATCATACGTTTCCTATAGGTCTTGACCAGGTTTGCACACACTGCAGCAGGGATTTTGGCCCACTCCTCCATACAGACCTTCTCCAGATCCTTCAGGTTTCGGGGCTGTCGCTGGGCAATACGGACTTTCAGCTCCCTCCAAAGATTTTCTATTGGGTTCAGGTCTGGAGACTGGCTAGGCCACTCCAGGACCTTGAGATGCTTCTTACGGAGCCACTCCTTAGTTGCCCTGGCTGTGTGTTTCGGGTCGTTGTCATGCTGGAAGACCCAGCCACAACCCATCTTCAATGCTCTTACTGAGGGAAGGAGGTTGTTGGCCAAGATCTCGCGATACATGGCCCCATCCATCCTCCCCTCAATACGGTGCAGTCGACTTGTCCCTTTTGCAGAAAAGCATCCCCAAAGAATGATGTTTCCACCTCCATGCTTCACGGTTGGGAGGGTGTTCTTGGGGTTGTACTCATCCTTCTTCGTCCTCCAAACACGGCAAGTGGAGTTTAGACCAAAAAGCTCTATTTTTGTCTCATCAGACCACATGACCTTCTCCCATTCCTCCTCTGGATCATCCAGATGGTCATTGGCAAACTTCAGATGGGCCTGGACATGCGCTGGCTTGAGCAGGGGGACCTTGCGTGCGCTGCAGGATTTTAATCCATGACGGCGTAGTGTGTTACTAATGGTTTTCTTTGAGACTGTGGTCCCAGCTCTCTTCAGGTCATTGACCAGGTCCTGCCGTGTAGTTCTGGGCTGATCCCTCACCTTCCTCATGATCATTGATGCCCCACGAGGTGAAATCTTGCATGGAGCCCCAGACCGAGGGTGATTGACCGTCATCTTGAACTTCTTCCTTTTTCTAATAATTGCGCCAACAGTTGTTGCCTTCTCACCAAGCTGCTTGCCTATTGTCCTGTAGCCCATTCCAGCCTTGTGCAGGTCTACAATTTCATCCCTGATGTCCTTACACAGCTCTCTGGTCTTGGCCATTGTGGAGAGGTTGGAGTCTGTTTGATTGAGTCTGTGGACAGGTGTATTTTATACAGGTAACGAGTTCAAACAGGTGCAGTTAATACAGGTAATGAGTGGAGAACAGGAGGGCTTCTTAAAGAAAAACTAACAGGTCTGTGAGAGCTGGAATTCTTACTGGTTGGTAGGTGATCAAATACTTATGTCATGCAATAAAATACAAATTAATTACTTAAACATCATACAATGTGATTTTCTCGATTTTTGTTTTAGACTCCGTCTCTCACAGTTGAAGTGTACATATGATAAAAATTACAGACCTCTACATGCTTTGTAAGTAGGAAAACCTGCAAAATCTGCAGTGTATCAAATACTTGTTCTCCCCACTGTATATCAGTCAATCAATCAATAATTCAACCATGCAGGCTTCTTAACAGCTTCTACCCCCAAGCCATAAGACTCCTGAACAGCTAATCATGGCTACCCGGACTATTTGCATTGCCACCCCACCCCAACCCCCTCTTTTACGCTGCTGCTACTCTGTTTATTATTTATGCATAGTCACTTTAACTCTACCCACATGTACATATTACCTCAATTACCTTGACTAACCGGTGCCCCCGCACATTGACTCTGTACCGGTACCCCCTGGATATAACCTCCCTACTGTTATTTTATTTTACTGCTGCTATTGCTATTTTTTATTTTTTATTAAACTGCATTGTTGGTTAAGGGCTTGTAAGTAAGCATTTCACTGTAATGTCTACACCTGTTGTATTCGGCGCAGGTGGCAAATAAAATTTGATCTATCTTTTAGGCTACTATTCTATAATATTCTATTATTTTAGGCCACCATCCTTCTGCTGTAGTATCAACACGTAGACAGTGTAATGCACTAATGAATTTATTAGATAGGAACATTGTATAATTATGATTGTAAATGATGTAGGTAAATCAAATCAAATCAAATTTTATTGGTCACATGCGCCGAATACAACAGGTGCAGACATTACAGTGAAATGCTTACTTACAGCCCTTAACCAACAGTGCATTTATTTTAAACAAAAAAGTAAGAATAAAACAACAACAAAAAAGTGTTGAGAAAAAAAGAGCAGAAGTAAGATAAAGTGACAGTAGGGAGGCTATATATACAGTAAAATAAAGTGACAGTAGGGAGGCTATATATACAGGGGGGTACCGTTGCATAGTCAATGTGCGGGGGCACCGGCTAGTTGAGGTAGTTGAGGTAATATGTACATGTGGGTAGAGTTAGTGACTATGCATAAGTACTTAACAGAGTAGCAGCAGCGTAAAAAGGATGGGGTGGGGGGGCAGTGCAAATAGTCCGGGTAGCCATGATTAGCTGTTCAGGAGTCTTATGGCTTGGGGGTAGAAGCTGTTGAGAAGTCTTTTGGACCTAGACTTGGCACTCCGGTACCGCTTGCCGTGCGGTAGCAGAGAGAACAGTCTATGACTAGGGTGGCTGGAGTCTTTGACAATTTTGAGGGCCTTCCTCTGACACCGCCTGGTATAGAGGTCCTGGATGGCAGGGAGCTTTGCCCCAGTGATGTACTGGGCCGTACGCACTACCCTCTGTAGTGCCTTGCGGTCAGAGGCCAAGCAGTTGCCATACCAGGCGGTGATGCAACCAGTCAGGATGCTCTCGATGGTGCAGCTGTAGAATTTTTTGAGGATCTGAGGACCCATGCCAAATCTTATTAGTCTCCTGAGGGGGAATAGGCTTTGTCGTGCCCTCTTCACGACTGTCTTGGTGTGTTTGGACCATGATAGTTCGTTGGTGATGTGGACACCAAGGAACTTGAAGCTCTCAACCTGTTCCACTACAGCCCCGTCGATGAGAATGGGGGCGTGCTCAGTCCTCTTTTTTTTCCTGTAGTCCACAATCATCTCCTTTGTCTTGGTCACGTTGAGGGAGAGGTTGTTGTCCTGGCACCACACGGCCAGATCTCTGACCTCCTCCCTATAGGCTGTCTCATCGTTGTCGGTGATCAGGCCTACCACTGTTGTGTCGTCGGCAAACTTAATGATGGTGTTGGAGTCGTGCCTGGCCATGCAGTCATGGGTGAACAGAGAGTACAGGAGGGGACTGAGCACGCACCCCTGAGGGGCCCCCGTGTTGAGGATCAGTGTGGCAGATGTGTTGTTACCTACCCTTACCACCTGGGGGCGGCCCGTCAGGAAGTCCAGGATCCAGTTGCAGAGGGAGGTGTTTAGTCCCAGGATCCTTAGCTTAGTGATGAGCTTAGAGGGCACTATGGTGTTGAATGCTGAGCTGTAGTCAATGAATAGCATTCTCACGTAGGTGTTCCTCTTGTCCAGGTGGGAAAGGGCAGTGTGGAGTGCGATAGAGATTGCATCATCTGTGGATCTGTTGGGGCGGTATGCAAATTGGAGTGGGTCTAGGGTTTCTGGGATTATGCTGTTGATGTGAGCCATGACCAGTCTTTCAAAGCACTTCATGGCTACAGACGTCAGTGCTACGGGTCGGTAGTCATTTAGGCAGGTTATCTTAGAGTTCTTGGGCACGGGGACTATGGTGGTCTGCTTGAAACATGTTGGTATTACAGACTCAGTCAGGGACATGTTGAAAATGTCAGTGAAGACACTTGCCAGTTGGTCAGCACATGCTCGGAGTACACGTCCTGGTAATCCGTCTGGCCCTGCGGCCTTGTGAATGTTGACCTGCTTAAAAGTCTTACTCACATCGGCTACGGAGAGCGTGATCACATAGTCGTCCGGAACAGCTGGTGCTCTCATGCATGCTTCAGTGTTGCTTGCCTCGAAGCGAGAATAGAAGTGGTTTAGCTCGTCTGGTAGGCTTGTGTCACTGGGCAGCTCGCGGCTGTGCTTCCCTTTGTAGTCTGTAATAGTTTTCGAGCCCTGCCACATCCGACGAGCGTCAGAGCCAGTGTAGTATGATTCAATCTTAGACCTGTATTGACTCTTTGCCTGTTTGATGGTTCGTCGGAGGTCATAGCGGGATTTCTTATAAGCGTCCGGGTTAGAGTCCCGTTCCTTGAAAGCGGCAGCTCTACCCTTTAGCTCAGTGCGGATGTTTCCTGTAATCCATGGCTTCTGGTTGGGGTATGTACGTACGGTCACTGTGGGGACGACATCATCGATGCACTTATTGATGAAGCCAGTGACTGATGTGGTGTACTCCTCAATGCTGTCTGAAGAATCCCGGAACATGTTCCAGTCTGTGCTAGCAAAACAGTCCTGTAGCTTAGCATCTGCGTCATCTGACCACTTTTTTATTAGCCGAATCACTGGTGCTTCCTGCTTCAGTTTTTGCTTATAAGCAGGAATCAGGAGGATAGAGTTATGGTCAGATTTGCCAAATGGAGGGCGAGTTTGGCGGGTATTGCAACATAATGGTGTTGATGTTGGTAGCTACAGTAGAATGTTTGTTCTAATACCAACTTTCTTTTCTATTCCTCAGGAGCTGGAGCCTCTCTGTGCTGCCGTACGGTTTCTACATGTCCTGGATAGTCAACATGGCCTTCAACATGACCTGGCTGGTCCTATGGGATAAAGAGTGCGTAACAGTCTTTTAACACCTTAACCAATGAATTCCTGTTGCCTGACTAATCTGATTGAAGTGGATGGGTGGAAGCAAAATGGCAGCATCTCCACTTACACAATGGCTAGACCGGCCCCGCACCGTTGTTCACGTGATCATTTTGTCTCTCCCCACCAGACGCAATCATGACAAAATACCAAAATCAACTCTGAATCAATTATATTAATTTCCGGACAGGTCGAAACACGCATGTTGCTAGCTCGTTTGTTTTGGGAGATTAACATTGGGTTGTTGTTTAACCTGACATGCATATGGTCCTCTTTTTAGCTGGTTCTTTGTAGAATTTTGACCCGGATTCATACAAAATTGTGTGTTTCTCTACTCTGACGATTAATCCACAGATAAAAAGGGAAACCTAGTTAGTTTTATGTTAGTTAACTTTGATTAATCTCTCCCCGTTTGTCTTTCAATCATCAACATGGGTTTGTATCTTCCTGATAACCAATAAGGAGGGGATTTGCAGCGCGTCGAGCGTCTTAAATATAACCAACTTCTATTTTACCGCCTGGCTACTCAGACACTCTGTGATGAGTTTGGTTGAAATTATTGAATAACGTGTATGTGTACATTTATTTTGCAAAGCTCGCACACGTAACATGGAAGTTGTATTCAGGGTGTTACTATAACCATACCACACCTACCCACGTTGTGGGCCTCTGCCAGTCTGTAGAGAATTTTGAGAGAAGTTGAACCTCATGGGCCTAGCATTCCCCCATTTCTTTTAACTCCTTTGCTCTACAATTAAAATACAAATACATAATGTATGAATACAAAGTTGTTACTACACAAGTTATATATAATTGTACCCATTTGAGATTCATTATATTGTTCTGGGTCTCTTACCAGGCCTATAGATTGTCAGCTCAAAACACCAAGGTAACTTGTGGATCAATGAGAGTGGTCTTTTTTACTGTTCCTTATAGGCAGATGACTGCTGCGTTGATTGTACTGGCAACCATTGCTGTCACCAACTACTCTATGATCTTCTTCTCCTGCTATGGGCTGAGTGTTTACGGAGCCTGGCTCAGCCAGAACCACCCCAGGGATCTCTGGTGCATCCGGGTGCTGGTGAGTTTAATTTGAGGCTTAATCGAGTTAGTTGTTAGACTCACACCATCCTCATGATTGTAGCCTGGTCCCAGATGTGCTTTAGCCAATTCCAGTCGGAGTAATGTTTTTCATAGGATTCATGCATGCCATTTAATTGTATGGCAACACTTACAGTGCCTTCAAAAGTATTCACACTCCTTGACTTTTTCTACATTTTGTTGTGTTACAGCCTGAATTTAAAATTGATTAAATTGAGATTTTTGTCACTGGCCTACACACAATACCCCATAATGTAAAAGTGGAATTATGTTTTCAGAAATTATTACAAATTAATTAAAAATGAAAAGCTAAAATGTCTTGAGTCAAAAAGTATTCAACCCCTTTGTTATGGCATGCCTAATTAAGTTCAGGAGTAAAACTTTGCATAACAAGTCACATAATAAATAGCATGGACTCACACTGTGTGCAATAATAGTGTTTAACATGAATTTTTTAATGACTACTTAATCTCTGTACCCCACACATATAGTACAATTATCTGTAAGGTCCCTTAGTCGAGCAGTGAATTTCAAACCCAGATTCAACCACAAAGACCAGGGAGGTTTTCCAATCACTCACAAAGAAGGGCACCTATTGGTAGATGGGTAAAAAAAAAAAGCAGACATTGAACATCCCTTTGAGCATGGTGAAGTTATTAATTAAACTTTGGATGGAAATCAATACACCCAGTCACTACAAAGACACAGGCGTTCTTCCTAACTCAGTTGCCGGAGAGGAAGGAAACCGCTCAGGGATGTCACCATGAGGCCAATGGTGACTAAAATTAAAACAGTTACAGAGTTTAATGGCTGTGATAGGAGAAAACTGAGGCTGGATCAACAATATTGTAGTTACTCCACAATACCAACCTAATTGACAGCGTGAAAAGAAGGAAGCCTTTACAGAATAAACATATTCCAAAACATGCATCCTATTTGCAACAAGGCACTAAAGTAATACTGCAAAAAATGTGGCAAAGCAATTAACTTTTTGTCCTGAATACAAAGCGTTATGTTTGGGGCATATCCAATACAACACATTACTGAGTACCATTCTCCATATTTTCAAGCATAGTGGTGGCTGCATCATGTTATGGCTATGCTTGTATTCATTACGGACTGGGGAGTCAGGATAAAAAATTAACAGATTGGAGCTAATCACTTGAGGAAAACCTGCTTCAGTCTGCTTTCTACCAGACACTGGGAGATTAATTAATCTTTCAGCAGGACAATGACCTAAAACACAAGGCCAGATCTACACTGGAGTTGCTTACTAAGAAGACAGTGAATGTTCCTGAGTGTCCGAGTTACAGTTTTGACTTAAATCTGCTTGAAAACCTATGGCAAGACCTGAAAATGATTGTCTAGCAATGATCAACAACCAATTTCACAGAGCTTGAAGAATTTTGAAAAGAATAATGGGCAAATGCTGCACAATCCAGGTGTGCAAAGCTCTTAGAGACACAGCTGTAATTGCTGCCAAAGGTGATTCTATCATGTATTGACTCAGGGGTGTGAATACCTATGTAAATTAGATATTTCTGTATTTCCTTTTCAATAAATGTGCAAACATAAAAAATTAAAAAAACATGTCTTCACTTTGGCATTATGGGGTATTGTGTGTAGACTTTTGAGAAAAAAACTACTTTTTTTTTTTTTAATCCATTTTGAATTCAGGCTGTAACACAACAAAATGTGGAATAAGTCAAGGGGTATGAATACTTTCTGAAGGCACTGTATATTGAGAGTAGTTGGCTAAAGCACATACAGCTCTGGAGCCAGGCCGTCCTACTGCATTTTACTTTACATAATCATTCTATTGTGATGTATTTTCCCTAGCCATCTTAGGTAAGCCACTTTTCAGTTGCTCTATCCTTCCTTTGTCCTCTTATGAGGAATTCTACAGTCGTATACTACAAGTAACGTTTTCTTAAATCTTAGGTGCAGAATGGCATTGCCCTGTATACCACATGGACAACCATCGCCACTCTGATCAACTTCACCCTGGTGTTGGACCTCTCTGGAGTGGCAAAGAACACTGCAGCCACTGTGTCTCTCTGTATCCTACTGGTGGAGGTGATCGCATGGTAAGCACAGTTTTACAAACAGTCTTTCTAATGAGAATCAGGCTCATCTTTTGATGACAGTTTTGGGCATGTGATACATATATTTTATGTGTTAATTAAGTAGCTGTTCCCAATGTAAATTAGAACTCTCAGCACGTTTGTGCACACAGCCACACACTCAATGTAATTGTAATGTGTTGTTTATTGTAGGTTTGGTATTGAGAACTTCCTGCTGGATCAGCATGTGAGGTACATCCTGACTATTTACCCTGTGGTGATAATTGCGCTGGTTGGAAATGTGTTCAAGCACTATGACCCTGCAGCACCAAGCGCTAACGCTATCTTCATGGGTGAGTAGGCCTCATCTTTCAGATTAGAGATCTATTACCAAGTACAAAATCAATCCTTACCTCCTATACCTGAAAACGTCTTGTGGATTAGTCATTTGATGGGTGTAAGTAATATCTCCACCGAGTCATTTGATAGGCTAAATGGAGTTCCCACTATATTGCTCAGACCCAACAGATTATTTCAGATCTACGAGATGCGTCTAGCTTCATTTGGGACTGGGCTAAAATCTCTTCATGTGAAACACTTAAACGTTGTGGAACCTCCCTCTCTATTCTCTATAAATCATATTAGAAACGAATATACATGTTAAAGATATATAGGGTCATTTACTCTGTCTTCCAGTGTTGCTCTTGGTGGTTTCCTGTGTGCTCCTGGTGGTGCGAGTCGCCTTGGTGTTCAGGAGAAACCAGAACCAGCCCCTGTACGCTGGCATGAGCCTGGAGGCTCTGATCTCGCCCAGCAGCCTGACCAAGAAGCAGAAGAAGATATTAATGTAGAAGACTGGTACACACCACAATACCATACGATCTGTCTTTTCACCGACGTGGCAAAGCTCAATCGCCTATAACATACATAACACATCTGCCTATATTAAACTATACACATTCGTTATTCAGTTTGGACAAGAAGCAGAGGAAGATATTCATGTAGAAGACTGGTAATCTGTTACACACCATAGTACGATCTGTATACAATACGAAGTGTCAAAGCCTATGCTGCCTATAAAACATCCTGTATTGCGCACACTCAGTATTCAAGTATTAAAATATCTGTATTCATCCAATCATAACACTCCACTACACTGTAATGCATGACACATTCAATGTTTATAATACATGTAATAAGACATTTTTGTACACTAATCAATGCACTGAATAATCGTATAATCAATTCCAGTGTAAATTACACTATTTTTACTTGATTCATATTTTGTATTGATTTGATAAATAAAAACATTTTGCCTAGCCTACAGTGTGCTGTATTGATAATGATATGTTCACTTGATGAAACTATTAGTCTACACACTGATGATGAGTATGAGTAGAAAGATGGAATACTAAAATAACATGGGATGTTAGTGTTTTATTATATGGCTTTATGTGGGGCTAGGACATTTTGTCCTACATCTTTATCAAATAATGACACAGGGCTCGTTTGCGTGGTGAGGCTGAAACAACCTGACTGCAGACGAAAGTCGAGGAGAGAAGTCGGTGGAAGGTGCATCTGGACAGGTGAAAGTCGGACACTGATGTGGTTTTCCAACATTTACATTTAAGTCATTTAGCAGACGCTCTTATCCAGAGCGACTTACATTTCTTCACACATTAAATCACAAAACTACAGTGCCTTTCAAAAGTATTCAGACCACGTGGATTTCTTCACATCTCATTGTGTTACAAAGTGGGATTAAAATTGGTTTGTCATTTTTTGTCATCAATCTACACAAAATAACCTGTAATGTCCAAGTGGAAGATAAATTCTAACATTTCTGAAAGATTAATAAAAATTATATGAACTAAAATATAGTCGTATTCAGCTCCCTGAGTCAATAACTGTTAGATACAACTTCTGCATCGAGTCTATAAGAGCTTTGCACACCTGGATTGTGCAATATTTGCCCATTATTCTTTTCAAAATTCTTCAAGCTCTGTCAATATGTTGGGGATCATGGCTAAACAGCAATATTCAAGTCTTGCCATAGATTTCCAAGCAGATTTAAGTCAAAACTGTAACTTGGCCACTCAGGAACATTGACTGTATTCTTGGTAAGCAACTCCAGTGTAGATTTGGCCTTGTTGTATGTTATTTTCCTGCTGAATGGGGAATATCTCTCCCAGTCTCTGGTGTAAAGCAGACTGAAGCAGGTTTTCCTCTTGGATTTTGCCTGTGCTTAGCTCCATCCCGTTTCTTTTTATCCTGAAAAACTCCCCAGTATTTGCCTATGTCAAGCATACCCATACCATGATGCAGCCACCACCATGCTTGAAAATTAAGGAGGCAGTTACTCAGTGATGTGGTGTTGGATTTGCCCCAAACATAAGGCTTTGCATTTAGGCCAGAAAGTCTATTCCTTTCAAATCAAAATCAAATAAAATGTTATTTGTCACACACGCCGGATACAACAGGTGTAGACCTTACAGTGAAATGCTTACTTACAAGCCCCCAACCAACAGCAAGGCTTAGTGCAACATGGCAGTGTTGCCATTGTTTATAAAAAATAAAAAAAATATGTCGAGATACTCTCCAACCCCCATATCACACACTAGCATACTAAAATAGGTGTTTAATTAACGAGACAAACTCAAATACCACATTAATTTTGTATAGTGGATTATGCATCCACTATACATGAATCTCTGCAAAGTTTGTTCCAGTTTCAGTCATGTCTTTGGTTACGTTCGGGTGTGTCAAACAAAAACACCCTAATGATCGGTTGACAATAGAGCCTCCCACAATGCAGCCGATGGCTGCAGAATGAAGATGGTGAAGAGCAACTGCAGAAACTTACAGTCGACTGCAGTCAAAACTTCATGACCTTTGATCACATGATATTTGTAAAGTTCATGCAGTTGACATGTAGGCGCAAGTCGGACAATTGCTATCCCCATAATGCAACACACTATGAAAGGCGATGACCGACTTGACAAAAGTGATCCGTTCCAACAGTCTGCAAGGCAAAGTCAGATATAAGTCAAATTGGAAATTCTCTTGTAGCGTGAAATGAGCTGCAGAAAATGTTCCATACAGTGGGGGAAAAAAGTATTTAGGCAGCCACCAATTTTGCAAGTTCTCCCACTTAAAAAGATGAGAGAGGCCTGTAATTTTCATCATAGGTACACGCCAACTATGACAGACAAAATGAGATATTTTGTTTCCAGAAAATCACATTGTAGGATTTTTAATGAATTTATTTGCAAATTATGGTGGAAAATAAGTATTTGGTCAATAACAAAAGTTTCTCAATACTTTGTTATATACCCTTTGTTGGCAATGACACAGGTCAAACATTTTCTGTAAGTCTTCACAAGGTTTTCACACACTGTTGCTGGTATTTTGGCCCATTCCTCCATGCAGAATCTCCTCTAGAGCAGTGATGTTTTGGGGCTGTCGCTGGGCAACACAGACTTTCAACTCCCTCCAAAGATTTTGCTATGGGGTTGAGATCTGGAGACTGGCTAGGCCACTCCAGGAACTTGAAATGCTTCTTACGAAGCCACTCTTCCGTTGCCCGGGCGGTGTGTTTGGGATCATTGTCATGCTGAAAGACCCAGCCACGTTTCATCTTCAATGCCCTTGCTGATGGAAGGAGGTTTTCACTCAAAATCTCACGATACATGGCCCCATTCATTCTTTCCTTTACACGGATCAGTCGTCCTGGTCCCTTTGCAGAAAAACTGCCCCAAAGCATGATGTTTCCACCCCCATGCTTCACATTAGGTATGGTGTTCTTTGGATGCAACTCAGCATTCTTTGTCCTCCAAACACGACGAGTTGAGTTTTTACCAAAAAGTTCTATTTTGGTTTCATCTGACCATATGACATTCTCCCAATCCTCTTCTGGATCATCCAAATGCACTCTAGCAAACTTCAGACAGGCCTGGACATGTACTGGCTTAAGCAGGGGGACACGTCTGGCACTGCAGGATTTGAGTCCCTGGCGGCGTAGTGTGTTACTGATGGTAGGCTTTGTTACTTTGGTCCCAGCTCTCTGCAGGTCATTCACTAGGTCCCCCCGTGTGGTTCTGGGATTTTTGCTCACCGTTCTTGTGATCATTTTGACCCCACGGGGTGAGATCTTGCGTGGAGCCCCAGATCGAGGGAGATTATCAGTGGTCTTGTATGTCTTCCATTTCCTAATAATTGCTCCCACAGTTGATTTCTTCAAACCAAGCTGCTTACCTATTGCAGATTCAGTCTTCCCAGCCTGGTGCAGGTCTACAATTTTTGTTTCTGGTGTCCTTTGACAGCTCTTTGGTCTTGGCCATAGTGGAGTTTGGAGTGTGACTGTTTGAGGTTGTGGACAGGTGTCTTTTATACTGATAACAAGTTCAAACAGGTGCCATTAATACAGGTAACGAGTGGAGGACAGAGGAGCCTCTTAAAGAAGAAGTTACAGGTCTGTGAGAACCAGAAATCTTGCTTGTTTGTAGGTGACCAAATACTTATTTTCCACCATAATTTGCAAATAAATTCATAAAAAATCCTACAATGTGATTTTCTGGATATTTTTTTCTCAATTAGTCTGTCATAATTGAAGTGTACCTATGATGAAAATTACAGGCCTCTCTTACCTTTTTAAGTGGGAGAACTTGCACAATTGGTGGCTGACTAAATACTTTTTTCCCCCATTGTATTTACCACATTATTTAATAGAAAGCTTTGGAGCGGATCACTTTTGTCAATTCGGTGACCGTCGGTGGTCAAAGTGTGTTGCACTCTGTGGATAGAAATTGTCCGACTTGCGCCTACATGAGGATTGCATGAAATTGACAAAAACCATGTGATCAAAGGTCATTAAGTTTTAACTTCAGTCGACTGCAAGTTTCTGCAGTTGCTCTTCACCAACTTCATCCTGTAGCCATTTCCTGCATTGCGGGAGGCTCTATTGTCAACCAATCATTAGGGTGTTTTTGTTTGACCTACGAGAACGTTACCAAAGATGTGACTGAAACAGGAACCAAGGAGATATGTACAATTGTATGTGATATTTGAGGCTCTCTCTCACCAATTGGTAGTACAATACACACACATTTATTTACAGTTTGTGAGTGTGTGATATGGGGGTTGGAGACATGTTTATTTCGACATTACAAATAATAACTTTTATAAACAATGGCAACAATGCCATGTTGCACTGAGCCTTGCTGTTGGAAAACCACATCAACCTCCAACTTTCGGCTGTCGCAGATGCATCTCCCCGACTTCACTCCTCGACTTTCGTCTACAGTCGGTTGCTCTCGCCTTGCTACTCAAACGAGCCCATTCTCTATGGCGCTTGAACTCCATAGAGTTCTGCACTGCTGTCATGTAGCCTACATGTTACGTAACACATGTCCTCTTCATGTAGAAGCAGCGCAACCCTGCTCACGGTTTAATCTTGTATCGTTTCTTATTTAATGAATTCCATTTCAACATGTGGTGTTTCAGTCGAATGGTGCTCTTTAATAAGGCCAGATAATGTTGCCAAACAGGTAAGATTCGCATTGCACCTGTCTACAAGAAAGTATGATAATAATTTTTTCTTATATTCGTACATGTACGGTAGTCGGGTTAAAGGGCGTTGCAAAATTGACACTCCCCCCTGCTCAGATGCCAAGCCTATTCTTCAAAAAAAAAAACGATACTTTGTGTCTTTGCAAATGACATTAACGCGACTGTTCACGATGCATTGAGTATTTGAAGTTGGATGTAACAGGTACATAACTTTTGCTTTTCGACAGTTTGTAAGCTAAGCATAATGATTCAACACAATTTTGTGTACAGTGTGCGCATCTTGCAGATGCAGGTTGTGTGGTTGTCTGCTTGGTCCTTATACTTTAGTGAGTGGCAGACTGAGACTGGACACGGTAGATCGAGCATTTAAAATAGCTTGGTTGGCTTTTAAACCGACTGAATTCTGGACCTTATCCATAATGAGTTATGATTTAAATATGGACACTCATGCGCTGCGCAATATCAAGTGGGCGTTTGTTGACAGTGCGTTTTGGTGATGCGCGCATTGTAGACGCGAGAGAAGCTGTGGGATACATGCAGTGAACAACTGAAAAGGATTCAAACTTAGGTCTGCCGAATTTAGTTGATAGTGGAAAGAATTTAAACTGGACCTGTATGTTTTGATTTTGCTTGCGCCATTGGCTACATGGTTTCCAGTTCTGGATAAAAGGCTGCCTGCCAATTGCATCAAGTGACAGCTCCACTTCTAAGAATTTCACCTTTGTGGTGACTATTATCACATTTCAAATGCATTGATCTTTAAGAAATGGATCCAATAGTCCAATTTCAACCTCACCATTTCAGCTGTCACAATGTGTCAACAATGTTATGTTACAAACTGCAATAGGCTGCTGAAATGTAACTATTTTTAGACAGCTGGAATAGCCTACAATTTCTGTTAATTGCTTACATTTTATAATATATAATAATATAATATGCCATTTAGCAGACGCTTTTATCCAAAGCGACTTACAGTCATGCGTGGTTGTGCTGTAACCATCCATGTTTTGGGGAATAGACTGGACGTGTACAACTAAATGTTAAATGTTGTTAAATGTACAGAAAGATGTGTAGCCTATGAGAGCGAAAGATGTTAGTCAAATTTCAATATGAATGTATTTGGAAACATGGGCTACTTGGAAATATGGGCTACAGTTGCCTGCATGTAAGTTGCAATGTTGTTGATGGCTGGTGACATATTCATTTTTTTTTTTCAACAGGGGGTTCTCGATCGTTTTTTTCCAAAGCATCATCCCCGGTACAGTAAAGGACGACCTAAATAAGGAAAGTCAAAATGTCCCTCCAGGCAAAACAAGTCAGAGTCCTGGTCCTCAACGATATGGAACAGCTGGGAAGGACACTCTTCCGCCTGGACCAAGGTACCTGGACATTATTTCCTTTTTATGCATGGCTTAGGCTACCATGGTATTGATTTATTGAGACTGAGAATAACAAGAAAGTTTAGGTGGTATTTTAACATGAGACGTGTAGAAATATTTGCCAGTGTGCTATTTCTATAGATAGCCCATGGGGACTGGGGATTGTGGTTGCAGGCAGACACAGGCATGTCCCTCCCAGTCTTGTTGCATTGCAGTTTTTGAACATTTTATTCTTTGTTCTTTTGTAGTTCTTTTGTTGTTGTTGTCGTGAGGCAGGAGTGTTGTCTTTTTCGTTTAATATAGACCGAATTATTGTATCGATTCAGACATCTGTTGGTCGGTCATCCAAGATTTCCAGTATACAAATGCATCAACGTTTTCTAGATAGCACTCACATTATACATTATCAGTAATAACCTCATCCCAGCCATTATTCATTTTAATTCAGTGATATCTGGTAACGTGAGACTATTATGAGACATATCCAACATAGTTTGCTTCCTTAAGAAGAGATTCTGGTTTAGATGATTCAAATATTTCTAAATTATTTTCATAAGCCACAACTACAGTTGAACAGCAACAACAGGAACTAGTAGAGATCCAGTATCACTCCACTTCTCCAGTTGAGCAACTGCAGGGCTGCAGTCTCAACCACACTTGATAAGGCAGCTGCTGCTGAGCTTATTAGCAAAATAAATGTTCAAAGATCAGAAAGAACTCATTGTTATTCCTATTAATAACTTATAGTCAATGGCAGGGATGGGCAACTTTAAAGCGGTGGGGGCAAACAAAAAATCTGAACTCATCATGGGGGGGCCGCAGTGGCTCGCAGAGCACCCACATTCATACCAGCACATGCAGTCAGAGCCGGCCCTAGACTTTTTGGGGCCCTAAGTAAAATATTTTGTTGGCCCCTCACCTTGCGAGCAAAACATTTTAGCAGCCTCCCCTCTTGACAGCGGAGAGAAGAAATTGACCTTTCAGAGTTAATTTCTTGACATTCTTCATATTTTGCCATGGGGCATAGAGAAAATGTTGCAGTTTTAAAGCAAGTTTTCTGAAATTCTGCACATTTTGCCATGGTGGCGGAGAGGAAAATGTGTAAAAGTAAGTTGAGACAGCGACTGAGTTCCTACAAAAGGCATGCTGCCCATCCCTGGTTTTAGAATAAGGCTGTAATGTAACAAAATGTGGAAAAAGTCAAGGGGTCTGAATACTTTCTGAATGCACTGTATAAATATATTGTATGCTCAGGCCTGTTTGTACTATATGTTTCTTCTAAGGCTTTGAGCTCCAGTTCCGTCTGGGCCCTACTCTCCAGGGAAAACATGTGCATGTGCACACTAACTACCCTGCCCTGGGCAAACACTTTGACCGTCACACCTTCCAGGCCCTGGACTGGCACAACCCCACGGGAAGAGAGGACGACTCTGACAAGTTTTGCACCCTAGACCTGCAGATCGCTGGATCGTACCAATACTACTTTGGTCACGGGTGAGAGTTAACACTATTGTAATACAGACCAGTATTCATATTGCATTTCTACATGAGCCACAACATCACTGGGCAACTCACTGGAGCAACTCATGCTGTATGTTCAAGTTGGAACGTTGTCAAGATTGTCCTCATATAATAATTTATTGTCCTCATATAATCCTTGAAATCCCCACTATAAGTAAATATTCCAAATTTTCACCCCCAGCCATGAGGAGAAGTCAGGCGGTGGCTACATAGTGGTGGACCCAGTGCTGCGTGCCGGGGCTGACAACCACCACGTCCATCTGGACTGTATCACCATCCAGACCTACCTGTCCAAATGCCTGGGACACCTGGATGACTGGCCAGACAGACTGAGGGTGGCCAAGGAATCTGGTGAGAGAGGAGGGCGACAGGGGTCCGTCTTGATGCCAGCCTGCCTTTACGTGTGCTGGTCTTCCATCCTGGTCCTGGAGGGCTGTGTAGGGCTTTAATTGTTCCAACCCAGGACTATAATAACTGATTCAACTTATCAACTAGTCATTAACTAAATTAGATATACAGTATTAGGTGTGTTATGCCTGTAGTTTTCCAGGATCAAGAGCGTAGAATAGTCTTGTAGTCCATCGTCTCACCAGGAAGTTTGAATCCCAATTAACAGGTTTGGCCGTAATTCTTTAGGTGACCTACGGACACCAGTTTAGTTCATGGTCCCAAGCCAATGTTTATACTACATTTTCACCTTGTCATTTTGCAATATCCCAGGCTTGTCCTCACTTGACAATAGAAAGAGGGTCAGTTTAATCATTAACAAGCTGTATGTAGTAGTAATAACCGAAGTGAAATGGAAAGCATAGATATCATGCCATGCAAAGACGGCATTCCCTGTGTTTTTCGGATGAAACTTAACAAACTAAGTAAACAAAGAAAATTCAGCTCCAATGCTTGGATATTAACATAAGCATTTTGTTTGTTTCACAGGCTACAACATGATCCACTTCACCCCTCTCCAGACTCTAGGGATATCTAGGTCCTGCTACTCCCTAGCTGACCAACTAAGCCTGAACCCAGAGTTTTCACCACCGGGAAAGAACTACACCTGGACAGAAGTGGGAGAGTTGGTGCAGAGACTGAAGAAAGAGTGGAATATGATCTGTATCACTGACGTGGTCTACAATCATACAGGTGTGTGTGGGTGGGATAGGGGATGAACGTGTGCCTACTCGATTGCATCTGTGTCTCCCTCTCTTTGGTTGAAGGATCATTGCAAAAGCTGCCTATTAGGTTAGAGATGTTGCATCACAGTCAGTAACTGTGAGGCCATACCTAAAGAGCAGTTCCTCTCAAAGTTCAGAGAAAAAGTACCAGCATTGTCAAAGAGCCAGGCTGGTCTCACAATTCATAGTTTAGTAGTCCTATATCCCTAATATCCCTCTATATGTACAACGTTTTTAAAGTCCCACTCTAGCCAAAGTTGGACAAATATCTTTCTAGGTGTTTTGTGTAGTTTCCAGTGTGTTGACTAAGGCCTTTTTTTGAATCAGTGATGTGTGCCTGTTGCTGTTAACATCCCGTCAAGCGAGTGTTTATTGAGATGGTATAGTTCTAGTTACCTTACTGGTTGCCATAGCAGAACTCCTAATATCACAATGAGTTTGCATACTGCATGTCTCTTACTGAACGTAGACTAGGGAAAGGTCACAGTCTCTAAAATAATGATGAGTCATGGTCCTCGAGTCTAGTGCGAGCTGAGTGGCGTGTTAAAAATACCCTCCCTAGATAATTCTGCACCACTTGGTTATGGCTGCTGGTGAACCTAGTCTGTGTGTGTGCAGTTGTGCAGCCAAGCTGTTGCATAACAGTTCAGACAGACTCTGTGGAATCTATGTGACTAGCATGCTAAGCTAAAAGAGAGAATGCTTTCGCTGACTCAAGCTCCTATTGGTTAGATGTGTTTTGAATAGAACCTGCGTCAAAGTGACTCATTGCCATTGGTTTCAGCAGTGGTTTCTTTTGTCTTCAGTGTTTGAGTGCAGTGCAGTGCTTGCATGGAGGTAGTTGAGTTGTTTTTCTATTGTCTACTAGTTTCTGTTCAGTGCAGTTGTATCCTTTTTGGTTTGCAAGTGTCTGTAGTAAGGTTTAGTGTAGGTAGCCTGCTTCAGAACCCTAGGGAAGGCTTGAAGAACATAAGGGCTTGAGAGCAGCATTCTATGGCCAAGACCCAGTATTGTGAAAGGTCAGATGGTCAGAGTAACCTTATCTCCATGGCAGTTTAAAGGTCATGTGCTGACTGACGCCAGCAACTTGCTGAACTCTATGGTCTGTGGTCAGTGCACCTTACAATGATGTACCAATGGGTCTGCGCTGCTGTGATATGATGTAACACTTTGAAATGGTTACCTATGTTAGAGTTCCCCTTTTCTGTCACATGTGCTCATATTATAAACAGGCACACACTATGGTTAGAATGTGTATTATCTGAGAAATAACCTAGATCAAAATGTGAACATTTCAGTGTTTACATAAAAACATCATATTTTTCATGCAAAAAGATTAAATAAAAAGTCTGTAGGGTTTATTAGAGTGAAGAGATACCACTGGCATTTTGATCATATGCCCATCGATGATCCTACCACTGATAGAAGGTTAGTTTTGACATCATCAGGGAGTGTCTGCATAGAATCAATGAACCTTCATTCCCCTCTGTAATATTCCTTGACAAAGGCCTTAATGTCCTTCATAACAGTGCTGATTTCAGTGTGGTAACTGTTGCTTTGTGCACTTCCCCTCGCCTGTGCAGCTGCCAACAGCCCGTGGATCAAGGAGCATCCTGAGTGTGGCTACAACCTGGTCAACTCCCCCCACCTGAGGTCAGCCTGGGTCCTGGACCGGGCCATATGGCACATGACCTGCAACATGGCTGATGCTAAGTACGCCGCTATGGGCCTCCCCGCCCAGGTCCAGAACGAGGGGCACCTCAATGTGAGTGTCTGAGGTTCACTTTCTCAGCTAGGGTTGTGAAATTCCAACCTTCCCAAAAGTCCCATGTTTTTTTTAGAAATCCCGGTTGGAGGATTCTTGGAATCAGTAGGGAATAAGCAGGAAGGGAATCCTCGAACCGGGAACTTAAAGGCCCAGTGCAGTCAAAAACAAGATATTCATGTGTTTTATATACAGTGCCTTCGGAAAGTATTCAGACCCATTGACTTTTTCCACATTTTGTTACGTTACAGCCTTATTCTAAAATTGATTAAAACAAATTGTTTTCTTCTCATCAATACCCCATAATGACAAAGCAAAAACAGGTTTTTGAAAATTTAGCTAATTTATAAAAATACGAAAATCTGAAATATCACATTTACATAATAACTCAGACCCTTTACTCAGTACTTTGTCATGTGCCTTTTACTGAGGAGTGGCTTCCATCTAGCCACTCTACCGTAAAGGCCTGATTGGTGGAGTGCTGCAGAGATGGTTGTCCTTCTGGAAGGTTTTCCCATCTCCACAGAGGAACTCTAGAGCTCTGTCAGAGTGACCATCAGGTTCTTGGTCACCTCCCTGACCAAGGCCCTTCTCCACCGATTGCTCAGTTTGGCATGGCGGCCAGCTCTAGGAAGAGTCTTGGTGGTTCCAAACTTCTTCCATTTAAGAATGATGGAGGCCACTGTGATCTTGTGGACCTTCAATGCTGCAGACATTTTTTGGTACCCTTCCCCAGATCTGTACCTCGACACAATCCTGTCTCGGAGCTCTACGGACAATTCCTTCGACCTCATGGCTTGGTTTTAGCCCTGACATGCACTGTCAACTGTGGGACCTTATATAGACAGGTGTGTGCCTTTCCAAATAATGTCCAATCAATTGAATTTACCACAGGTGGACTCCAATCAAGTTGTAGAAACATCTCAAGGATGATCAATGGAAACAGGATGCACCTGAGCTCAATTTCGAGTCTCATAGCAAAGGGTCTGAATACTTATGTAAATAAGGTATTTCTGTTTTTAATTTTTTATAAATTTGAACACAAAAAAATAAATTATGGGGTATTGTGTGTAGATTGCTGAGGAAAATGTTTTATTTAATCAATTTTAGAATAAGGCTGTAACGTAACAAAATGTGGAGAAAGTCAAGGGGTCTGAATACTTTCCGAAGGCACTGTACATTTCCACACTATGAGGTTGGAACAATATTGTGAAATTATGAAAAGGATGATAATGCCCTTTTAGTGTAAGAGCTGTTTGAAAAGGTCGCTTGAAATATCAGTCTGTTTTGGCCTGCCTGGTGACATCACCAGGTGGTAAATTAGTCAATAGACCAATAAGAAAGAGTTACAAATCTCTCTACCAATAACATCTAGTTTTCAGTTTTCCCCTCCCCACTCAGACCACTCCCAGACAGTCCTAGCAAAATTCTTACTTGAGAAATTGCTATTTATGTTTATTTTTGACTATTTTAATTGAAAGCAATCACAGTAATGTACTTAATTGTTACCCAGAAATTATTTGATATTGAGATAAAAACTGCTGCATTGAACCTTTAAGGAATGTTGACAGATATCTTTTACCCTGGCCACAGCACTATAATGGTTGTTGTCCAGAGTTTTTCCTGGTCATGCCATGATGTGGTCAGGAAAAACTCCAGGGCCTTACACATAACACCTCATGGGATTTGTCTTAATGAAATTGTGAGCTCCTTTTGTGAAGACCTAAACCTTTATTTTTTTGTTTCACCTCTCTAAGGCGATCCGCGATGTTTTGTGGGGGCAGGTGTTCCCTAAGGTCAAGCTGTGGGAGTTCTTCCAGGTCAAAATCGAGAACACTGTGGAGGAGTTCAGGACCCTGCTCACAGAAGGCGAGAGCATTCAACTGAGCACTGTTCAGTACTGTTTTTATCTTTCTGTTCATGATATCTGCTGTGCCATTATAATAACTGGGGTGTATTCACAAGGAACCAAAAAGGAAGCAAGTAGGCCGAAACGTGGAGAGACCTACCTACTTACCTGAACTTGTCTCGTTTTCGTTGCAAAATGTTTTATACGGTTTGCTACGGTGTGCACTGATGAATACACCTGTGCTTTATAAACACCTTATGTCAGAGGGTCGTTCGAAAGAGTAACCATCTCCTCTTCTCATGAGCTCCACCTGTCCAAACAGTGACCGTGTATGGATTCGCACGAGAAGTAGAGCCAAGTCACAGTCAAACAGGCATCTACCTCCACCTCAGTGGGAGTTTGCCCATTTCTAATGTGAAACAAAATGACTCAATAAAAAATAAAAATCATGGGCCTCCCGAGTGGTGCAGCGGTCTAAGGCACTGCATCGCAGGGTTCGAACCCAGGCTGTGTCACAACCGGCCGTGACCGGAGTCCCGTAGGGCAGTGCACAATTGGCCCAGCGACGTCCGGGTTAGGGTGGGCTTTACTTGGCTCATCGTGCTCTAGCAACTCCTTGTGGCGGGCTGGGCGCCTGCAGGCTGGCTTCGGTCGTCAGTTGAACAGTGTTTCTTCTGACACATTGGTGCAGCTGGCTTCCGGGTTAAGTGGGCGGATGTTAAGAAGCGCTGTTTGGCGGGTCATGTTTCGGAGGACACAAGACTCGACCTTCGCCTCTCCCGAGCCCGATGAGACAAGATCGAAGTTGGGTAGAAAAAGGGGGTAAAATACAAAAAATATATATAAATATAAATGGGGAGAAATTGCAAATGTGTTGATTTATCATTATCCAATTTTCCTTTTTTGGCAGCTATAATTTCTCAATAGCTGTGTTTTGGTATTGAGGATATGCTTGAATGTGTTGGTATTGATGAAGTAATTGTATGTTGTGGTATTATGTGATTGTCCTCAGGAGCGAAACCAGACCAGAAGAAGACTGGGGGTAAACAGGGACTTAAGATCATCCAGGACCCCAAGTTCAGACGCTTCGGAAATAAAGTGGACATGGATTCTGCTCTGGAGACCTTTGTGCCTCACAGGTTAGTGTGTGCGTGTTATCATGATGAACTGATGATAATGACTTAACATCAGTTCATTGAGTAGATTATTTCGATCCCCAAATCTAAAGCCAAGTCTCGTCCTGCACATTGTCAATTCTTTTCCCTGTCCAGCCGCAGTCCTCAAGCCATTCTGGAGGCCTGTAACTGGCTGTGGGGGAGACTGGAGGAGATCAATAAAGAGCAGTACCAGCAGATGCTACACCACCAGGAGCAGGTAGGGCATCAGTAGCTTTGGTATGTTCCATATGTGTGTCTGAGTAATGTAGTCCATCCGTTTTACAATTCTTTGTTCTGCTTCTTGTTTTCCAAACAGGCTGCTAACTGCATCGTGGGAAATGTAGTTTATGAGCGCCTGGCTGACCACGGACCCAAGCTGGGCCCCGTCACCAGGAAAGACCCTATTGTTACCAGGTAGGCTATGTGTGCTGACTGCTTGTAGATGTTAAAAGGCTTGATGAATTAGTTTACTTCACTCATATTAATATAAAAACAGATTTAGAAACAAGGTCTACAGTATTATGACTGTAATGGCAAAGAAGGAGATGAACTTTATTCCTTGGCATTGAAAAAAGTGGGTTCCATTCGTGACATTAGCGATTATATCATGCTATGCTTATTTAAACAGGAGTGCCCTCCTTAGCAGTCATGCACATGTAAATACAATTTGGGTCCTTTGTTTACAAATTTTATTGTGGATCCAAATAAATAAATGCGTTTGTATGTTGACAGATACTTCACCTTCCCGTTCGAGGAGAAGAGCCTGGAGGATGACCTGCCGATGATGGACCAGCCAGACAAGGCCTGTCACTTCCTGGCTCACAATGGCTGGGTGATGGGAGACGACCCTCTTAGGAACTTTGCTGAGCCAGGTCCGCACTTTTTATTTGACATTCATTCACTCCTGCCCATTGTGCCGGCTGGCACTTAGGCAGCAACAAAATAATCTCCACTTCTGACACTCTTCGGCTGTCTTCTCCACTGTGCCCCAGCTCTGGGGATGTTGGAGCTCAGTCAATTGTTTTAAATTATAATAATTAAAAAATGTGCTTTTATCTAGATCAACTTACAATACGTGCATTCAGCTAAGGAAGAGGATAATACTTTACGCTCACTTTTTCCGTCAGGGCAAAGATCTGTGTCTCTCTATGGGTCAATGACACGCAAACCGTGTGGAGATACGTGATCAAGTCACTCTGAATAAGAACAACTGCTATCTTACCAAATATTTAGCCTAAGTGATATAGATGAATGTAAAGATGAATGCATAGTTTAGACTTTATAGACAAAAAGCTGGAAATAGTGATGCTGGTTCTGTGGTAATATGATAATTCCACAAAGGGGAGCCAGTGAGCTGTAAATATCATTCCCAGTGTTACTAAAGGCCCAGTCCCTGAGAACTTAAAGAAAACAAATGCCTTTCCATCTTTCCAGGCTCCAACGTGTACATCAGGAGAGAGCTGATCTGCTGGGGCGACAGCGTCAAACTTCGCTATGGCAACAAGCCCGAAGACTGCCCCTACCTGTGGGCCCACATGCAGAAGTACACAGAGATCACGGCCAAGCACTTCGCTGGGGTCCGCCTGGACAACTGTCACTCCACCCCTCTGCACGTGGCTGAGGTACTGTACATAATTCCATTCAGTCTGAGCCATTGAGTTTGTTATTACACTCCATGTAGCCCATACCATCTATGAAACCCATATCGTTACTGTATGGCCAATTAATATGATTCAGGTATCTTCCAAGATAATTGATACAGTAGATGTATGAATAAAGTTAGGGATCATTCGCTGTAAAGTGACAAAACAATGTCATAACTGAAACCACTCTCCTTCCGTAGCACATGCTGGCTGCAGCCAGGGCGGTCAGGCCCAACCTGTATGTAATCGCTGAGCTCTTTACGGGCAGCGAACTGATTGACAATGTGTTTGTTAACCGCCTGGGGATAACCAGTCTTGTCAGAGGTACCGGACGTTGACATGTAGTGGACACAGCACTGGAGTGGTGGGGGTTAAACCCCAGGTTACACTTTATTTTACATATCTGGTGTTTACTAGACTTTCAATTGAAAATGTTTATTTAAATGACGTAATAATTGCATTTTGGTGTCTTTTGAGATTTATTGAAAAACATCAATTTGTATCATCTGGTACCAGTTTCTTCAAAGCAAGTACCAGAAAGTATCGTTGGTTACAACTTAATGTTTGAGTAAACACCAAATACCATCTAAGGACTGTAAAATAGTGTTACCAAAAATGTTTTGTTTTGGCATGACACTAAATCTCTGTTTTTGACTCTTTCTGTGTGTCTCTCTAATATCTACCATTTACAACCCACATTTCATAATTCCTATACCTCACTTGACATACTATCTTGCTATCTGCTAAACATTTTTGCATTGTACATATCACCTTTCGCTTACTTCCCGGTCTGAACACCTCATTGACCTTTTGACCTTTACCATTGGCATCCTCCTCACCCCTTTCTCGGTTCTCTTCTCATATTTCTGTCTCTTTGTTTGGTTTGTGTTTGGCATGTTTTCTTTTGCACCTTGAACCCCCCCATGACCCCTCTTCCATACTAACCTGCTCTCCTGCTTAGCTTCGCCGTACCTCCCTACATTTCGACTTCTTCTCCCTCTCCTTCCCCTCCCTCCACCCTCTCTCTGTGCTTTAACCCACCGTTGACTGACCTGTGGATGTGTACATGTAGTACATGTTGGACGTGGCTCGTGTGTTGAGGCCCAGTCTGTACGTGGTGGCTGAGCTGTTCACGGGCAGCGAGGACCTGGACAATGTCTTTGTGACTAAGCTAGGCATTACCTCGCTCATCAGAGGTAGGATTGCACACCACTAGCCTGGTCCCAGAATGGTTTGTTCCGTCTTGCCAACTCCTTTGGTTCTTGTCATGAATGACCATATGAGTTGGTAAGACACCACAAACAGATCTGAGACCAGGTTAGCGCATATGTGAATGACATTTTTTACCAACGGGCATTCTCAATTCCTGCATGTTGACACCATTTGTATGTGATTGAAAAGACTACAAACTAATACGGTGGTGTAACTGTGAACCCCTCCCTCTCCCTCCCTTCCTGGCCCCTCCAGAGGCAATGAGTGCAGGGGACAGTCACGAGGAGGGCAGGCTGGTGTACAGGTACGGAGGGGAGCCCGTCGGGGCCTTCGTCCAGCCCAGCCTCCGCCCCCTGGTGCCGAGCATCGCCCACGCCATGTTCCTGGACGTCACCCACGACAACGAGTGCCCCATTCAGGTACCTTATTCTTAAGTGCCCTATTTAGGTAGCCTATCCTTCTGCTATTCAGGTACAGCACGGTGTTATAGTGACCATTGCTAGTTCATTGCTGTAAATAAAATATCTAGGCTCGATTTCAATATGCACAATAGCTAGCAAACTACTGCTTAAAATGAAGCAATTATATTGGGCATGCATTCTAAGTGGTATGCTAGTGTGTGCATTGCAGGAAAGTTATCCTGCAACAAGGTGATCAAATGCTATATCTGTAGGGGCTTCACACTGTTGGGAACCTGGTTGATTTCAGTATGAACTTTGGGTTTAATTGCAGTACTATATGAAACTCCAGTGAGACGGGGGAGCGGTACCCCTTTGTTTGCTGTCTCCATGTTCACTCTCTGGGAACATTTCCCCCTAGTGAAAAAAAGAGAGACAACCACAAACCTGGGTGTGTGTCAATTCCTTTGTTGTTGTCTATGTTCCAGCTCCGCTCTGCGTACGACTCGCTCCCCAGCTCTGCCATTGTCTCAATGGCCTGCTGTTGCTCTGGCAGCACCAGGGGATATGATGAGATGGTGCCCCACCAGGTAACACACACACATTTTCTTTGTCATAACAGTATAATGATTTTTATCCAGATATTTGTATATCTTAAATGCATATACACCGCTATAGCGTCACAATATCTTAAATCACTTTAAGTATAAAGCCAAGGAGTTTTGAATGATGGTAGCTAGGTACCCCTGGTATCATATGAAAACAGAAGACATGGCAAAATGTGTAGAATTGCAGGAAAGGAGATTTAAAACTGCAACATTTCTCTCCGGCCCATAGCAGAATTTGTAGAATTGCAGGAAATTATGTTTAAAACTGCAACATTTTCTCTCCAGCCCATAGCAAAATGTGTAGAATTGCAGGATATTATGTTTAAAAAACTGCAACATTTTCTCTCTGCCAATAAGAGGGTGTGAATAGTTTGGGGTAGCGAGGTGGTGGTTTGTTACTACGCCAATAAATGACAATATCCATCCGGACCTTTGCCACCTAGGACATTTGTGTGACTGGACCTTCTCAAATAGTACTTGAGTACCCCTGCCTGGACTAGACTCTTTAGGGACCATCTCCCCTGCCTGGACTAGACTCTTTAGTGACCATCTCCCCTGCCTGGACTAGACTCTTTAGTGACCATCTCCCCTGCCTGGACTAGACTCTTTAGTGACCATCTCCCCTGCCTGGACTAGACTCTTTAGTGACCATCTCCCCTGCCTGGACTAGACTCTTTAGTGACCATCTCCCCTGCCTGGACTCGACTCTTTAGTGACCATCTCCCCTGCCTGGACTCGACTCTTTAGTGACCATCTCCCCTGCCTGGACTAGACTCTTTAGTGACCATCTCCCCTGCCTGGACTAGACTCTTTAGTGACCATCTCCCCTGCCTGGACTAGACTCTTTAGTGACCATCTCCCCTGCCTGGACTAGACTCTTTAGTGACCATCTCCCCTGCCTGGACTAGACTCTTTAGTGACCATCTCCCCCTGCCTGTCTGCCTGTAGATCTCAGTGGTCAAGGAGGAGCGTTTCTACCCCAAGTGGAACCCTGAAGCCAAGGCCTCGTCCCCCGGGGAGGTCAACCTGAAGACGGGTATCATCGCTGGCAAGCTGGCCCTCAACAAAATGCACCAGGAACTGGCTTCCAAGGGCTTCAACCAGGTGGGTGTGTGGGGGAATGGTTGTTCGTCTTACTCAAACCAAATCCTCACCCATATCCATAGGCCTTTTGAATGGTTATTGGCAACATGGTGAATTGTGATTGTAGACTATTAGTAGGCTGGATTAAATAGATATGACATAGCAGTTACTCCTATTTAGTCCTTTGAGATGTGAAGAGGAGTCGATAATAACCAAGGGATCATTTTGGCATTGGCCCTACAGTATGTGTGTGTGAATGTATAAATGTATTTGCAGGATAAGAGTTGTTTGTAACACTACTTGTCCCCTGTCCCTCTCCTAGGTGTACGTAGACCAGGTGGACGAGGACATTGTGGCAGTGACGCGTCACTGTCCCAGCACCCACCAGTCTGTGGTGGCCGTGTGTCGCACTGCCTTCCACAACCCCAAACACCACCAGTACAGGAAGGAGGTTCCACCCATGTTCATCCCTGGTGTGATGCTTCGCTGTTACCATAAACAGGACACTGTCCTCAGAATGGACCTATATAGAAATACAATTATACTAGAGTGGCTTATGTCATTCATCTTCGGAACTCTAGAATGTGCTGATAATGGCAGCCATCTTGGTCAGGGATCATTTCGAAACCAGTATGATTGGAGAAAAAAATGTGAAGAGAGGCACAGGAGATGACTTGAGAACACTACTGACCTGGATGCACCTACTATTTTAACACAATCCCCTTCATCTCTCTCCAACTCCAGGTAAAATTGAGGAGGTGGTTCTGGAGGCACGTATCATCGACAGGCAAGCCGGCACCTACAAGAAATGCGAGAAGTACATCAACGGCATGCCTGAGTACACCGTGGAGATTAAGGAGCACATCCAGGTAATGTGATGCTGGGGAACGTGGGTAATAATTACAGTTGTTTAGGCCCCCTGTCACAATGGGCTTGAGCGGTAAAGATCGCTGTGTGACAAGTATTTCCTCTCAAACAAAACAAATCCATTCTCAGACTGGGTCTTCAAAAACAAGAAGCTTCAGTGGCATCCGGTTACATTTCACAAGCTGGTATTGTGTCTGTATTCTGTCTGGCTTGTTTGTCAGTTTCTATTGAATGCCATTTAGTTTACATAGCTATTTCCTCAGTGTTAGCTGCTTAGTTCGCTTGAGCAAGGCACTTACAGTGAGGGAAAAAAGTATTTGATCCCCTGCTGATTTTGTATGTTTGCCCACTGACAAAGAAATGATCAGTCTATAATTTTAATGGTAGGTTTATTTGAACAGTGAGAGACAGAATAACAACAACAAAATCCAGAAAAACGCATGTCAAAAATGTTATAAATTGATTTGCATTTTAATGAGGGAAATAAGTATTTGACCCCCTCTCAATCAGAAAGATTTCTGGCTCCCAGGTGTCTTTTATACAGGTAACAAGCAGAGATTAGCAGCACACTCTTAAAGGGAGTGCTCCTAATCTCAGCTTGTTACCTGTATAAAAGACACCTGTCCACAGAAGCAATCAATCAATCAATCCGATTCCAAACTCTCCACCATGGCCAAGACCAAAGAGCTCTCCAAGGATGTCAGGGACAAGATTGTAGACCTACACAAGGCTGGAATGGGCTACAAGACCATCGCCAAGAAGCTTGGTGAGAAGGTGACAACAGTTGGTGCGATTATTCGCAAAAGGAAGAAACACAAAATAACTGTCAATCTCCCTCGGCCTGGGGCTCCATGCAAGATCTCACCTCGTGGAGTTGCAATGATCATGAGAACGGTGAGGAATCAGCCCAGAACTACACAGGAGGATCTTGTCAATGATCTCAAGGCAGCTGGGACCATAGTCACCAAGAAAACAATTGGTAACACACTACGCCGTGAAGGACTGAAATCCTGCAGCGTCCGCAAGGTCCCCCTGCTCAAGAAAGCACATATACAGGGCCGTCTGAAGTTTGCCAATGAACATCTGAATGATTCAGAGGAGAACTGGGTGAAAGTGTTGTGGTCAGATGAGACCAAAATCGAGCTCTTTGGCATCAACTCAACTCGCCGTGTTTGGAGGAGGAGGAATGCTGCCTATGACCCCAAGAACACCATCCCCACCGTCAAACATGGAGGTGGAAACATTATGCTTTGGGGGTGTTTTTCTGCTAAGGGGACAGGACAACTTCACTGCATCAAAGGGACGATGGACGGGGCCATGTACCGTCAAATCTTGGGTGAGAACCTCCTTCTCTCAGCCAGGGCATTGAAAAGGGTTAGTGGATGGGTATTCCAGCATGACAATGACCCAAAACACATAGCCAAGGCAACAAAGGAGTGGCTCAAGAAGAAGCACATTAAGGTCCTGGAGTGGCCTAACCAGTTTCCAGACCTTAATCCCATAGAAAATCTGTGGAGGGACTTGGAGAAGATCTGCAAAGAGGAGTGGAACAAAATTCCTCCTGAGATGTGTGCAAACCTGGTGGCCAACTACAAGAAACATCTGACCTCTGTGATTGCCAACAAGGGTTTTGCCACCAAGTACTAAGTCATGTTTTGCAGAGGGGTCAAATACTTATTTCCCTCATTAAAATGCAAATAAATTCATAACATTTTTGACATGCTTTTTTCTGGATTTTGTTGTTGTTATTCTGTCTCTCATTGTTCAAATAAACCTACCATTAAAATTATAGACTGATCATGTCTTTGTCAGTGGGCAAATGTACAAAATCAGCAGGGGATCAAATACTTTTTTCCCTCACTGTAACCCTAATTGCTTCTGTAAGTTGCTCTGGATAAGACTGTCTGCTAAATGATTAAAATGTAAAAATGTTAATGTAGAACCATGTACTTTTTCCTGTTTAGTCAAAGCAAAACATTTGGTTATGTTGTGTATAGACCAGCAAAAGTCGATTCATAATTGTCCTCAACTCTCCTCTCAATCGGCCATTGTGGATGTTCTTTTATGTGGTAGTGAAACATTATTCACCCCTGTTCTTCTATGTCCCCTGTCACCCCAGCTGAAAGACAGTGGCGTTGTGAAACACGCAGGCGTGACGTCTAAGGGCAGCAGTGAGTTTGTCCAGGAGATCGTCTTCGAGCGCCTCACCCCCGGCAGCGTCATCGCCTTCAGGTCAGAGGTCATGATGAGCAGCCCAGTAAATGTTGAATTTCAAAGTATACTCTACTATAACACACACCAATGTTAGTGAGGGATGGGGATGTTCTCTGGCCAGTTTGGACCCCTATTGTCCACTCACAGCTCACAGATAATATTGTTGACTCTGCACCCCTTCGATAGCTCAGTTGGTAGAGCGGAGGACTGTAGGTAAAATAACAGTGATCCTTAGGTCGCTGGTTCAAATCCGGCTCGAAGGAGGAAACCTTTTCCTCTAGCTTTTGGCTGACTTTTCATGGCAGGAATTCAGGAATCTCTCCAGCCCTGCAGATAGTATGTCACCTAGCCTGGTCTCAGATCTGTTTGTGCTATCTTGACAACTCCTGTGTTCATTGTCAGGCCAATGGCACAATCAGATCTGGGACCAGGCGAGATGTCTCCCTCTCTGAGATGTATATGTGTTTCCCTCACCAGGGTGAGTCTGGACCCTAAGGCCCAGGAGCTGGTGGGAGTCATCAGACATCACCTGATCCAGTTCAGCCCCAAGTACAAGCCTGGCAGTCTGCCTGACCAACACACACCAACCATACTGGAGACACCACTGGCACAGTGAGTATACATCATACAAACACACACACAAATGTACCGTTACACACACACACACACACACACACTGCATTGCAAACACACACAGTGCATTCGGAAAGCTATCAGACCCCTTCACCTTTTCTACATTTTGTTACATTACAGCCTTATTCTAAAATGGATTAAACACTTTTTTTCTTAAATTTTTGCAAATGTATATACAAAAAAAAAGGATACCTTATTTACATAAGTATTCAGACCCTTTGCTATGAGACTCGAAATTGAGCTCAGGTGTATCTTGTTTCCATTGATCATCCTTGAGATGTTTCTACAACTTGGAGTCCACCTGTGGTACATTCAATTGATTGGACATGATTTGGAAAGGCACACACCTGTCTATATAAGGTCCCACAGTGCATGTCAGAGCTAAAACCAAGCCATGAGGTCGAAGGAATTGTCCGTAGAGCTCAGAGACAGGAATATGTCGAGGTACAGATCTTGGGAAGGGTACCAAAAAATTTCTGCAGCATTGAAGGTCCACAAGATCACTGTGGCCTCCATCATTCTTAAATGGAAGAAGTTTGGAACCACCAAGACTCTTCCTAGAGCTGGCTGCCCAGACAAACTGAGCAATCGGGAGAGAAGTGCCTTGGTCAGGGAGGTGACCAAGAACCCGATGGTCACTTTGACAGAGCTCCAGAGTTCCTCTGTGGAGATGGGAGAACCTTCCAGAAGGACAACCATCTCTGCAGCACTCCACCAATTAGGCCATTATGGTAGAGAAAGGCACCTAAATGACTCTCAAACCATGAGAAACAAGGTTCTCCTGTCTGATGAAACCAAGATTGAACACTGGCCTGAATGCCAAGCGTCACGTCTGGAGGAAACCTGACACCATCCCTATGGTGGAGCATGGTGGTGGCAGCATCATGCTGTGGGGATGTTTTTCAGCGGCAGGGACTGGGAGACTAGTCAGGATCGAGGGAAAGATGAACAGAGCAAAGTACAGAGAGATCCTTGATGAAAACCAGCTCCAGAGCACTCAGGACCTCAGACTGGGGGCGAAGGTTCACCTTCCAACAGGACAACGACCCTAAGCACACAGCCAATACAATGCAGGAGTTGGTTCGGGACAAGTCTCTGAATGTCCTTGAGTGGCCCAGCCAGAACCTGAACATGAACCCGATCTAACATCTCTGGAGAGACCTGAAAATAGCTGGGCAGCGACACTTGAGAGGATCTGCAGAAAAGAATGGGAGAAAATCCCCAAATACAGATGTTTTTGCTTTGTCATTATGGGCTATAGTGTGTAGATTGATGAGGGGAAAAAAACAATTTAATAAATTTTAGAATAAGGCTGTAATGTAACAAAATGTGGAAAAAGTCAAGGGGTCTGAATACTCTTTCCGAATGCACTCACCAAGTGTATTGGAAAAGCGTTACGCTTACAATGGCTAAAAAGGAATAGTATGTTTGTTTTTTCCTGGTAGTAATATATTTGTATAGTGATTCATTGTGTCCATACAGTATGTGTTGAGATACTGATCAACAAGACTCTGTTGTCTCCAGTTGTGCTCTCAGCTGGGTGTGTTGTAATGCTATGTGACTCCATCTTCTATCCCCATTCAGGATCATGTCTAAGCTGACTCTGGGCGACATGAACATGCTGCTGTTCCGCTGTGACTCTGAGGAGCAGGAGGACGGAGGAGGATGCTACAACGTCCCCTCCTGGACCAGCTTCAAGTACGGTGGCCTGCAAGGTACAGGACAGTTCACAGTGAGGTGGTCCAGTCAGCACCAGGGTTGGGGTCAATTCCATTTCAATTCGGTCAATTCAGAGTAAATTTGAATTTGAATTTTACAGTTTACTTCCTGAATTTACTGAATTGATCCTAACCCTGGTCAGCACACATTGTGGAAGTTGCCCCTAACCACTGATACAGGGTCAGATATTTTTCCATCCCCCATAATGGTTAGGATTTGGGTTGGAAAGCTGATCCTAGATCTGTGCCTACAAGCAGCTGTACACATGCTGAATGAAACTGGACTTAGAAATTGAAAACGGGATTCACTGTTTTCATACAGGTCTGCTGTCAGTGATGGCGGACATTCGTCCCAAGAACGACCTGGGCCACCCAGTGTGTGACAACCTTAGACAGGGTGACTGGATGATCGACTACGTCAGTAACAGACTATTGTCCCGCGGTGGCGCTCTAGGAGAGGTGACAGTAATTCAAACTGAATGAATGAATCCCATTTAGATTTTTCATAGGCCTTATGATGGTAAGAAGTAGACAGACAAGACCGTCTGATGAACTTGACAATGATTATTGTAATTGGAAAGAAATTAATCAATTAACAACTCTGCCCAGCTAAGGTCTAAGACATGAGTTTTAAATCGACCAGTGTGGTAGCAGTATGATAAAAGGAAGATGATTATCATCATTGTCATCATTTTCGAGTTTGGTTTTATCCAGATAACATGTGTTGTCTCGGTTGTTTCCAGGTGGGGAAGTGGTTCAAGGCGATGTTCCATTATCTGAAGCACATCCCTCGCTACCTCATCCCCTGCTACTTTGACGCCATTTTAGTGGGAGCCTACACCACGGCTCTTGACACCACCTTCAACAAGATGTCCAGGTACAAGCTTAGGATCTTAATTTGATCACCCTGTTGCAGGAAATGCACACCTGTAGGGTATTCAAGGTAAAAAAATGCTTCTAAAGTTTGTAATTTCCCCTTAAACATTTCAGACTTGATTTGCCCTAATTATGTATCAACCCCTACAAAAATGTCCATTCATTATATGCCACACAATAATTCAGATTTCCTGTAGCTGCAGGATTATTTTCCTCCTGTGAGAAACTGGTCAAATTAAGATTCTACACCTGGATGTCTCACATAAACAACCCTATAACGTTTCTCTCATGCTTAACATACGCTTAGGAAATTATGCAATAGAAGAATGGAATATACTTAAATGATTAGATTTAGTGAGAATATTTGTATTAAGAAAGGCCCTGCACCTTTAACGGTATTGGTGCCGAAACCCGGAACCATACCATTAAATTTTTTTGACAACATCTTTTAACCTCTATCCTTTTTTACAACATATGTGTTTTCTCATGGTGTCTTCAGTTTTGTCCAGAAATGGTGCACAGTATTTTTTATGTAAAACCATGTTTTTCTCCTGGTTTCTGTCTCGTTCAGTTTCGTACAGAACGGCTCAACCTTTGTCAAACTGCTAGCCCTGGGCTCGGTCCAGATGTGTAGTGTGGGCAGTTTCCCGGCTCTGCCGCCCTTATCTCTGGAACTACCCGACGTCCCCTACCGCCTCAACAAGGACACTGGCAAGAAGGAGCAGTGCTGCGTCTCCCTGGCCGCAGGTCTGCCTAGAAATAACACATTTCTATTATATTCTACTATTCTACTTCTGTAAACAGTAGTGGGACGCCAACCTAATCACCATAATGCTTCTCTGTTGATATTCAGGAAACAAATAAGTGGTGTTTAAGTCTATTGTTGATCGGCAAAATGGTCTATTGTTGTCAGTCGCTTGGTATTTTAAGCTGAAACAATTCTACAAGCTTCAGTTCATGACCAATCCAGTAGCTATCAGCTGACAAAGTCCTATTTGTATCTCTGTACCATTTGAGAATTAGTGTTTGAATTTCAGCTGCATTTGAACGTCTTGTTCCTTTATTCATCTCTACCTTCATGTTTCACAGGTCTGCCTCACTTCTCCTCTGGAATCTTCCGCTGCTGGGGCCGAGACACCTTCATCTCGCTGCGTGGACTCATGCTGATCACTGGTCGTCACCTGGAGGCTAGGTGTGTATTCTCTCTGCACTGTAATAGTATCCAAATGTAACTTCTTAGCTATTAGAAAATATATAACCAGTGGTTTAAAGTACTTAAGTGAAAATACTTGAAAGTACTACTTAAGTAGCTTTTTTGGGGTATCTGTACTTTAATATTTATATTTTTGACAACTTACTTTTACTTCACTACATTCTTAAAGAAAATAATGTACTTTTTACTCCATACATTTTCTCTGACACCCAAAGGTACTCGTTACATTTTGAATGCTTAGCAGGACCGGAAAATTGTCAAATTCACACACTTATCAAGATAACATATTTTGTCATCCCTACTGCCTCTGATCTGACGGACTCACTAAACACACATGCTTTGTTTGTAAATTATGTCTGAGTGTGCCCCTGGCTCTCCGTAAATTAAAAAAACAAGAAAATGGTGGCGTCTGGTTTGCTTAATATAAGGAATTTGAAATTATTTATACTTTTAATTGTGATACTTAGTATATTTTAGCAATTACATTTACTTTTGATTTAAAACCAAATACTTTTAGACTTTTACTCAAGTAGTATTTTACTGGGTGAATTTTACTGGGTGACTTTCACTTTTACTTGAGTCATTTTCTATTAAGGTGACTTTTTCCACCACTGGATATAACACTGGAGTACATTTGATATATTAATTGAATGTCTATTTTTCCTACAGAAACATCATCCTGGCATTTGCAGGCACCCTGAGACACGGTCTTATCCCCAACCTGTTGGGCGAGGGCATCTGTGCCCGCTTCAACTGCCGTGATGCCGTGTGGTGGTGGCTGCAGTGCATCCAAGACTACTGTACCTTGGTGCCCGAGGGCATTGCCATCCTCCACTGCCCCGTGGTCAGGATGTACCCCCATGACGACTCCGAGCCCCAGGCCCCCGGCACTCCGGTAGGTCACATCTATACACATACAGTACACACACATTATGCCTGAACGCATACACTTACACACTTTCGTTTCATCCCTCTCTCTCACACACACACCCACATGTACACATATAGACACAAACAGACATATACATAAACACATACATACGCACACACACACACACACACACACACACACTCCATCTCTCATCTCACAAATATAGACACACATATGCATAAACGCATACATGTCCACACATACACCTACAGTGCCTTCAGAAAGTATTCATACCCCTTGACTTATTCCACATTTTGTTGTTACTGCCTGAATTCAAAATTGATTAAATATGTTTTTTTTTATCTCAGCCATCTGCACATAATACCCCATAATGACAAAGTTAAACTTTAGCTAATTTATTGAAAATGATATATATAATTATCTAATTTACATAAGTATTCACACCCCTGAGTCAATACTTTTTTATATATATATATATATATATATATATATATATATATATATATATGCGTTTATGCATATGTGTGTCTATATTTGTGCATGTGAGAGTGTGTGCGTGAGAAAGTGAGAGAGATGGAGAGTGTGTGTGTTTGTGTGTATGTATGTGTTTATGTGTGTTTGTGTCTATGTGTACATGTGGGTGTATTTATTTTTTATTTTATTTTTTTGGGGGGGGGGTAGATCAGCTTTAATATTGCAAATAGATTGTGACTTCTATCAATGTAATTATCTGCATCATTTTCAATCCCCCATATATTTTTTGGTAAATATATATATATATATTTTTCTATGTATTTTCCTGCTTTATTATTTTCCCCTAACCCTACCATCCCTCCCCTAATTGGAGTAAATTAATGGACAACAATACTTTGGCTTCTACTTCCAGCTTATACATACTATATGCATTTTACGGACACACTATATTTTACATTAGTTATCTTGTTTTTTGTTATTTTCAGTCCCACCTTTCAGCTCCCCTCAACCCCTCCCATCTAGCTCTTAACACCATAGAGTTTTGATTTCTATTTGCCATATACAGTATTTTTCAACTGTGCTATGATGTTTCACAAAAGTTCGGAACCTTTCTATTCTCATAGTTTCTACAGATTGCAAATTAAAGATAAAATGGTTTGCTAAGAGTATTATTATATTATTAATCGATTGACTATGAGATTTCATATCACCCAGCAGTGCTATTTGCAGAGTTAGCTCCAGAAAAATGTTGTAGTTCTTCAGCCATTCCTGAACCTATGACCGAAAACAAGCTACATATGGGCAGTACCAAAACAAGTGATCTAATGATTCTGTCTCTTCGCACCAAAATCTGCAGAGCTGGGGTGGGATAGTTGTATCCCCCATATATGTAGAACATTCTATTGGTTGCAAGAATTTTGTATAATAATTTAAATGGAAAAACTCTGTTGTTTTGTGTATCAGTTCATAAACTATGTGCCATGGAATCGGTACATCGAAAATCTCTTTCCAACTATTTTGCAACCTGTATGGCATAGCTGTCATTTTTTTGGTCCTTAAATGAAACTTGTATACTTCTTTATTTATAACAATTTTCTTTAACCAGTTTTGGCTTTTAATGCAGGGCCGACAGACAAGTTCCTTACCTTCTCCCCTTTCCACTTGCCTCTTCCATTTTTGCGGAAATGCTGCAACTATATACTGAACAAAAATATAATGAGGGAAATAAGTATTTGACCCCTCTGCAAAACATGACTTAGTACTTGTTGGCAAAACCCTTGTTGGCAATCACAGAGGTCAGACGTTTCTTGTAGTTGGCCACCAGGTTTGCACACATCTCAGGAGGGATTTTGTCCCACTCCTCTTTGCAGATCTTCTCCAAGTCATTAAGGTTTCGAGGCTGACGTTTGGCAACTCGAACCTTCAGCTCCCTCCACAGATTTTATATGGGATTAAGGTCTGGAGACTGGCTAGGCCACTCCAGGACCTTAATGTGCTTCTTCTTGAGCCACTCCTTTGTTGCCTTGGCCATGTGTTTTGGGTCATTGTCATGCTGGAATACCCATCCACTACCCATTTTCAATGCCCTGGCTAAAGGAAGGAGGTTCTCACCCAAGATTTACGTTACATGGTCCCATCCATCGTCCCTTTCATGCGGTGAAGTTGTCCTGTCCCCTTAGCAGAAAAACACCCCCAAAGCATAATGTTTCCACCTCCATGTTTGATGGTGGGGATGGTGTTCTTCGGGTCATAGGCAGCATTCCTCCTCCTCCAAACACGGTGAGTTGAGTTGATGCCAAAGAGCTCAATTTTGGTCTCATCTGACCACAACACTTTCACCCAGTTCTCCTCTGAATCATTCAGATGTTCATTGGCAAACTTCAGATGGGCATTTATATGTGCTTTCTTGAGCAGAGGGACCTTGCGGGCGCTGCAGGATTTCAGTCCTTCACGGCGTAGTGTGTTACCAATTGTTTTCTTGGTGACTATGGTCCCAGCTGCCTTCAGATCATTGACAAGATCCTCCCGTGTAGTTCTGGGCTGATTCCTCACCGTTCTCATGATCATTGCAACTGCACGAGGTGAGATCTTGCATGGAGCCCCAGGCCGAGGGAGATTGACAGTTCTTTTGTGTTTCTTCCATTTGCGAATAATCGCACCAACTGTTGTCACCTTCTCACCAAGCTGCTTGGCGATGGTCTTGTAGCCCATTCCAGCCTTGTGTAGGTCTACAATCTTGTCCCTGACATCCCTGGAGAGCTCTTTGGTCTTGGCCATGGTGGAGAGTTTGGAATCTGATTGATTGATTGCTTCTGTGGACAGGTGTCTTTTATACAGGTAACAAGCTGAGTTTAGGAGCACTCCCTTTAAGAGTGTGCTCCTAATCTCAGCTCGTTACCTGTATAAAAGACACCTGGGAGCCAGAAATCTTTCTGATTGAGAGGGAGTCAAATACTGATTTCCCTCATTAAAATGCAAATCAATGTATAACATTTTTGACATGCATTTTTCTGGATTATTTTGTTGTTATTCTGTCTCTCACTGTTCAAATAAACCTGACTGATAATTTATTTGTCAGTGGGCAAACGTACAAAATCAGCAGGGGATCAAATACTTTTTTCCCTCACTGTATCAACTGGGTGGTTCGAGCCCTGAATGCTGATTGGCTGAAAGCCGTGGTATATCAGACCGTGTACCATGGGTATTTATTTTTACTGTTCTAATTACATTGGTAACCAGTTTATAATAGCAATAAGGCACCTCTGGGGTTTGATATATGGCCAATATACCACAGCTAAGGGCTGTGTACAGGCACTCCGTGTTGCATCGTGCTTAAGAACAGCCCTTAGCCGTGGTATATTGGACATATACCACACCCCTCAGGCCTTATTGCTTAATTATAGTACACTTATCATAATTCGGTTGTAATCCAGAGAGGTTAGAAAAATTATCTAGATCCTCTGAGGCTGTGGACTGATCCAAATTGTAGATTTAAAAGAACTTGAATCATCAGCATACTTTTTCTATTTATTTTAATTTTATTTTTTACCATTTATTTAACCAGGTAAGCCAGTTGAGAACAAGTTCTCATTTACAACTGCGACCTGGCCAAGAGAACGCAAAGCAGTGCGATTTAAAAACAACAACACAGAGTTACATATGGGGTAAAACAAAACATGTACAATGACACCTTTCTTTTTAAGCCTGAGTCAATACTTTGTATAAGCCCCTTTGGCAGCGATTACAGCTGTGGGTCTTTCTGGGTAAGTTTCTAAGAGCTTTACACACCTGGATTGTGCAACATTTGCCCATTTATTCTTTTCAAAATTCTTCAAGCTCTGTCAAATTGGTTGTTGATCATTGCTAGACAACCATTTTCAGGTCTTGCCATAGATTTTCATGTAGATTTAAGTCAAACTGTAACTCGGACACTCAGGAATATTCAGTCTTCTTGGTAAGCATCTCTAGTGTAGATTTTGCCTTGTGTTTTATGTTATTGTCCTGCTGAAAGGGGAATTAATCTCCCAGTGTCTGGTGGAAAGCAGACTGGACCAGGTTTTCCTCTAGGATTTTGCCTGTGCTTAGCTCCATTCCATGTGTTTCTTATCCTAAAAAACTCCCCAGTCCTTAACGATTACAAACATACATATAACATGATGCAGCCACCACTATGCTTGAAAATATGGAGAGTGGTACTCAGTAATGTGTTCTATTGGATATGCACCAAACATAACGAAAAATTAATTGCTTTGACACATTTTCTTGCTGTATTACTTGCCTTGTTGCAAACAGGATGCATGTTTTGGAATATTTGTTATTCTGTACAGGCTTCCTTCTTTTCACTCTGTCGATTATGTTAGTATTGTGGAGTAACTACAATGTTGTTGATCCATCCTCAGTTTTCTCCTATCACAACCATTGAACTCTGTAACTGTTTTAAAGTCCCCATTGGCCTCATGGTGAAATCCCTGAGTGGTTTCCTTCCTCCCTGGCAACTGAGTTAGGAAGGACACCTGTATCTTTGTAGTGACTGGGTGTATTAATACACCATCCAAAGTGTATTTAATAACTTCACCATGCTCAAAGGGATATATTTAATGTATGCTTTTTTATTTTTCCCCATCTACCAATAGGTGCCCTTGTTTTCGAGGCACTGGAAAACCTCCCTAGTCTTTGTGGTTGAATCTTTGTTTGAAATTCACTGCTCGACTGAGGGACCTTAAAAATAATTGTATGTGTGGGGTACAGAGATGAGGTAGTCATTCAAAAATGTCCATGCAACTTATTATGTGAGTTGTTAAGCAAATGTTTACTCTTGAACTTATTTAGACTTGCCATAACAAAGGGGTTGAATACTTATTGACTCAAGATATTTCAGCTTTTCATTTTTAATTAATTTGCAAACATTTCCACTTTGACACTATGGGGTATTGTGTGTAGACCAGTGTCACAAAATCTCAATTTAATCAATTTCAAATTCAGGCTGTAACACAACGAAATGTGGAAAAGTCAAGGGGTGTGAATAATTTCTGAAGGCACTGTACATTAAGCACAGGTACAGTCTAACGTGGCCTTGTGTGTTTCAGTCCTTGCTCACACAGCCCTTGTGTGATGTCATCCACGAGGCCATGACACGTCACATGCAGGGTATTGACTTCAGAGAGCGCAACGCAGGACCGAAGATCGACATGCACATGAAGGACGAGGGTGAGTTTGCCACGGTCTGGTCACCTCTGGTTTCGGTCAAACTTTGAGTTAATAAGTAGTACCAGGAGTTTTTCCAGACCAAGTTACCTGACGAGGAATAATTCTGGCCCACCTGTTATTCCCTACAAGTGGCTCTTGTTGGTTTTTAAGGTTTTTATTATGAGGTGCACATTGTCTTGGTGTTTTGCTTCAGCAAACATGGTATATTGTTATTATTCTCCTTGCTCCCAGGCTTCAACGTTGTGGCCAAAGTGCACCGTGATACTGGCTTTGTTTACGGTGGTAACCGCTTCAACTGCGGGACATGGATGGACAAAATGGGAGAGAGTGACAAAGCTCGCAACAAGGGCATGCCTGCAACACCCAGGTAAGACTCTATCCACTGCTTACCCCTCTTTCTTAAAGGTCCAATTCAGCCGTTTTTATCTCAATATCAAATCATTTCTGGGTACTATTTAAGTACCTTCATGTGATTGTATTCAATTAAAATTGTCAAAAAGAAACTAAAAATAGCTTCTTAGCTAAGAGTAATTTCTCAAACAAGAATTTTGCTTGGACTGTATGGGAGTGGTCTGAGTAGGGAGGGGACAACTGAAAACGAGCTGGTAATGGCAGAGAGGTTTGGAACACTCTTTCTTATTGGTCTATTTACTAATTTACCGGTCACCAGGCAGGCCCAAATTACATCCCTCCACAACAGGCTGAAATTTCAGGCGGTCTATTCCAACAGATCTTACACTAAAAGGGCATTATCATAATTTCCACAATTTCACAGTATTAGTCCAACCACATCGTGTGGAAGAAAGTATATACAATATAGGAAAAAAACGCTTTTGACTGCACTGGGCCTTTAAACCAACAAAAGAATACAATTAAACCAAACTAGGGAAAAGGGAAAAGCCAGTGTATGTTTAGTTGGGCGTCTTTCTTGCTTCTCCTGAAGTTCGTAAAGATGTGATAATGCATATTCAATTCATTTGATTTGATGTGACTTGTCTCCCTGGTTGTGTGTGTCTCCAGAGATGGGTCAGCGGTGGAGATCGTGGGCCTCAGTAAGTCTGTGGTGCGCTGGCTGGTGGAGCTCCATAAGAAGGGCCTGTTCCCCCACAGCTCCATGAAAATACACAGGGACGGTGAGTGCTGCCTGGACACACACACACATGCATACACATGCACCCACACACACATGCACCAGCCGTGCCGGCACACACACACATTGACATGTATGCAAACATATATGCGCGATGTCCCTCCCTCAGAGCCATAATTGTTTTACTAATAAGACATAATGAAAACATTTGTATTATATTATTGTTTTCCCTTGCAGGTAAGGAGGTGAAGGTTTCCTATGAGGAGTGGAACCATAAGATCCTGGCCAACTTTGAGAAGAACTTCTATGTGTCCCACGACGAGAAGGACCCCAACGAGAAGCAACCCGACCTGGTCCACAAGAGAGGCATCTACAAGGACAGCCACGGAGCCTCCAGCCCCTGGTGTGACTACCAGCTCAGGCCAAACTTTTGCATCGCCATGGTGGTGGTGAGTTGCCATCAGAGTGGCATCAGCCCATGCCCAGTTCCATTTCAATCCTTTGCATGTTTTTTCTCATAGAGAAGAATTTGAATTTCAGTTTACTCCCAGCATTGACTGAATTGAAATGGAATTGACACCAACCCTGGTCCTTAGCCCATTTCCTTGGCTACTCCTTGGGTGTAAATAGATCTAAAGCCCTGGGTCAGTGGAAGACATATAGCATGACATAGTGGTGGAGTTTGTGAGGTATTAAAACCCCCTAATGTCGAGGTCCGCGCCCCCGCATACATCTAATTAGCATAATAAAAAAATCCCCATAAAAACCTGTCAGTTTAAGCTAGATGCGTCTCAATCCACCGCATCCGCCTATATTGCACTTCTGCATCTGTGGTGAAAGGTGACAGAGCTAGAGCAGTGTTTGTCAGACTGAGACTTCTGTAGCGTCCGAACGGTTTGGCCAAAAACTATGACCCCTCTATGGAATGATGAGACTCTGTGTTTTTCTCTACCACCCCCACAAGCGTCTTGGGACTCGTTTAAAGTCGGTACAGCTGATCTGTCAACTTCTGTCTGTAGAGTCCGGACAGTTAGGGCTACACACTAAGACCGCTCTGTGGAAAGGTGACTCTCACGAACATGTACATGTCAGTTGTTTTGCTCTAGGGCGCCCACAGGCCTCACAAGACTCGTCTGAAGTTCCCCGGTACCAGTTGAAATAATGAACGGAAGTATATATGGAGACTTGTTAGTGCCAAAAATAAGGGGAGAAATACATGTATAAAAATAAACATTCCTGATCTTATATCGCTCAGATATAGGACAAACACTTCAGAACAAACTTCCTTTAGATTCTTTTTTTGGGAACTATCTGTTGTTCCATGTAGTGAATCTGTTATTCAATGCGTTTGTATGGGCTAATAGCAGTAAGCCCCAAAATAACTTTTCATCAAATACACTACATGACCAAAGGTATGTGGACACCTGCTCGTCGAACATCTCATTCCAAAATCATGGGCTTTAATATGGAGTTGGTCCCCCCTTTGCTGATATAACAGTCTCCACTCTTCTGGGAAGGCTTTCCACAAGATGTTGGAACATTGCTGCGGGGACTTACTTAAAATTCAGCCACAAGAGCATTAATGAGGTTGTGCACTGATGTTGGGCGTTCCAATTCATCCCAAAGGTATTCGATGGGGTTGAGGTCAGGGCTCTGTGCATGCCAGTCAAGTTCTTCCACACCGATCTCGACAAACCATTTCTGTATGGACCTCGCTTTATGCACTGTGGCGTTGTCATGCTGAAACAGGAAAGGGTCTTCCACAGAGTCGTCTAGAATGTCATTGTATGCTGTAGCGTTAAGATTTCCCTTCACTGGAACTAAGGGGCGTAGCCCGAACCATGAAAAACAGCCCCAGACCATTATACCAGATTCGTCCATCGGACTGCCAGATGGTGAAGCGTGATTCATCACTCCAGAGAACGCGTTTCCACTGCTCCAGAGTCCAATGGTGGCAAGCTTGTGTGCGGCTGCTCAGCACTGGAAACTCATTTCCTGAAGCTCCCGACGAACAGTTCTTGTGCTGACGTTGCTTTCAGAGGCAGTTTGGAACTCTGTAGTGAGTGTAGCAACCGAGGACAGATGATTTTTACGCGCTTCAGCACTCTGCGGTCTCGTTCTGTGAACTTATGTGGCCTACCACTTCACGGCTGAGCCGTTGTTGCTCCTAGACGTTTCCACTTCACAATAACAGCACTTACAGTTGACCGGGGCAGCTCTAGTAGGGAAGGAATTTGACGAACTGACTTGTTGGAAAGGTGGTATCCTATGACAGTGCCACGTTGATACTCACTGAGCTCTTCAGTAAGGCCATTCTACTGCCAATATTTGTCTATGGAGATTACATGGCTGTATGCTCGATTTTATATACCTGTCAGCAACGGTGTGGCTGAAATAGCCAAATCCACTAATTTGAAGGGGTGTCCACATACTTTTGTATATATAGTGTGTTTTTTAAATATATTTTTTTGATACTTCAAGGGGTCTTAAAATTCCAAATCAAATAGCTAAATGATCTTTGGGATGACCTAAAAAATAATTCCATATAACTTAGTAGAACCCCCCTCCCCGGCTTAGACAGGGCTTAGACTCTTTTGGGTTAATGAGTTGACCTGAATGGTGTTCTCTATCCTGTCCCTGAGGCTCCTGAGTTGTTCACAGTGGAGAGAGCCTGGAAGGCCCTGGGGATGGCTGAGAAGAAGCTGCTAGGACCTCTGGGAATGAAGACCTTGGACCCAGAGTAAGAGACCTCATTATCACTCATAATTAGAACCATGTGACCTGACCAGGAGAATTTAGGGCCCTGAGGTCAAATGTTCAGGAAAATCTCCTGGCCCCACTCTTACTTGTTCATTGACTGATTTAATTTTCAATACATATTTTCTTGGCACGTATACTGACATCACGTTTATTTCTCCCCTAGTGATATGGTGTACTGTGGTGTTTATGACAACGCCCTGGACAACGATAACTACAACGTGGCAAGAGGCTTCAACTACCACCAAGGACCGGTGAGTGCGCCTTACTGAGAATTGAGTTGTACTACACCTTGAATTAGCCGTTATTGTTAACCTTATTATGGCAATGCTCCCGAGGGTATAAATAAAGTTCTATTGAATTGATCTGATTGATGTAATGACTTGTTTGTATTTTAGGAGTGGCTGTGGCCAATTGGTTACTTCCTGCGAGCAAAGCTCTATTTTGCCAAGAAGCTTGGGAAGGAGACCTATGAACAGACAGTGTACCTGGTGAAGAGCATTCTCTCTCAGCATTATGTCCACCTGGAGAGGTAAATACACACACTAACACACACATTTGCGCATGCGAACACACATTCTTTGAACATTCATCCATGTCTCTTCTAACCCCCTAAGGTCTAGCTGGAAGGGTCTGCCAGAGCTGACCAATGAGAATGGCCAGTACTGCCCCTTCAGCTGCGAATCACAGGCCTGGTCCATCTCCACGGTGCTGGAAGTCCTCTACGACATATAGCACCTCACTTCCTGTGGGCGAAGACTCACCCTATGATCTAATGTTCTATTGTAGTCCGGCACTGTTTTAATTCACCTACATAATGTGGTATTTGTTGTCTTGTTTTGGACCACGTGTACACCCTATGCACTAACCCTATTGGGCTCTCAAGTATACAGTAATGCCTTGTGAACACCAGCACTTGGAGTGGTTGTGGAGGGCATTGGGAAATTGTAGCTCACAGCCTCATTTGACGGCTGACTTAATGTTGTCAAGGTATGATCCCTATGTTACAGTAGATACAGTGGGGAGAACAAGTATTTGATACACTGCCGATTTTGCAGGTTTTCCTACTTACAAAGCATGTAGAGGTCTGTAATTTTTATCATAGGTACACTTCAACTGTGAGAGACGGAATCTAAAACAAAAATCCAGAAAATCACATTGTATGATTTTAAAGTAATTAATTAGCATTTTATCGTATGACATAAGTATTTGATCACCTACCAACAAGTAAGAATTCCGGCTCTCACAGACCTGTTAGTTTTTCTTTAAGAAGCCCTCCTTTTCTCCACTCATTACCTGTATTAACTGCACATGTTTGAACTTGTTACCTGTGTAAAAGACACCTGTCCACACACTCAATCAAACAGACACCAACCTCTCCACAATGGCCAAGACCAGAGAGCTGTGTAAGGACATCAGGGATAAAATTGTAGACCTGCACAAGGCTGGGATGGGTTACAGGACAATAGGCAAGCAGCTTGGTGAGAAGGCAACAACTGTTGGCGCAATTATTAGAAAATGGAAGAAGTTCAAGATGACTGTCAATCACCCTCAGTCTGGGGCTCCATGCAAGATCTCACCTTGTGGGGAATCAATGATCATGAGGAAGGTGAGGGATCAGCCCAGAACTACACGGCAGGACCTGATCAAAGACCTGAAGAGAGCTGGGACCACAGTCTCAAAGAAAACCATTAGTAACACACTACGCCGTGATGGATTAAAATCCTGCAGCGCACGCAAGGTCCCCCTGCTCAAGCCAGCGCATGTCCAGGCCCGTCTGAAGTTTGCCAATGACCATCTGGATGATCCAGAGGAGGAATGGGAGAAGGTCATGTGGTCTGATGAGACAAAAATATCGCTTTTTGGTCTAAACTCCACTCGCCGTGTTTGGAGGAAGAAGAAGGATGAGTACAACCCCAAGAACACCATCCCAACCGTGAAGCATGGAGGTGGAAACATCATTCTTTGGGGATGCTTTTCTGCAAAGGGGACAGGACGACTGCACCGTATTGAGGGGAGAATGGATGGGGCCATGTATCGCGAGATCTTGGCCAACAACCTCCTTCCCTCCGTAAGAGCATTGAAGATGGGTCGTGGCTGGGTCTTCCAGCATGACAATGACCCGAAACACACAGCCAGGGCAACTAAGGAGTGGCTCTGTAAGAAGCATCTCAAGGTCCTGGAGTGGCCTAGCCAGTCTCCAGACCTGAACCCAATAGAAAATCTTTGGAGGGAGTTGAAAATCCGTATTGCTCAGTGACAGCCCCAAAACCTGAAGGTCTGTATGGAGGAGTGGGCCAAAATCCCTGCTGCAGTGTGTGCAAACCTGGTCAAGACCTACAGGAAACATATGATCTCTGTAATTGCAAACAAAGGTTTCTGTACCAAATATTAAGTTCTGCTTTTCTGATGTATCAAATACTTATGTCATGCAATAAAATGCAAATTAATTACTTAAAAACCATACAATGTGATTTTCTGGATTTGAAGTGTACCTATGATAAAAATTACAGACCTCTACATGCTTTGTAAGTAGGAAAACCTGCAAAATCGGCAGTGTATCAAATACTTGTTCTCCCCACTGTACATGAGCTAATGTTAAAGCACTTAAAGATAAAGTATTATAAGGGTTTGGAAGACCGACTGTTTTAAACCAGCTAACCTCATAGGCAGTTGAACTTAAACCGTGTGTCACCTGTGCTGCTACCCGGTCCCTGGTGATCCTTTTTAAAGATGGTATCAAAATGTACTGTACTATGAAATTAGTGACGACCCATTGCTTTGTGCTTCCATGCCTTTTATTAGAGTTTAGATCCCTAAAAAGAAACCTCTGGAAACTATCACTGTGACAGAATAACTTATAGAGTTGATGTTCTATCCATAACCCACTCTAAATGTGATGCATCTCCTTGTGAATCTGGTGCCTCTTTTTTAATGGTCAGCATGCTCCCAGCTTATAGTGTGATTTGATTTGTGTCTGTCTACATAGTGTTGTCATGACATTTAGCGGTATATAAACAGTGTGCAACATGACCCATTCTGTGTCTTTGACTTCATGTCTGTGTTGAGGTAAAGAAACACCTAATAGGGTTACTGAAGGAGTAGCCTGTTCACCAGCTCCCAGTTGACTCTGGATTGTTAGACACAGCACAAAGTAAATGTTTTTATATCTATTTATTTAAACATCATCTCGTTTTTTATAATCTATCTGGTCAGACAGCAGCAGCGTCAACAGTTTTGACATATTTTGAAACGTATGTCATGAAGAACAGTTATTATTAATAAATATTGTCTCTAGTCATGTTCATCAGGATCAACTGAAGACTGAGAGAGATATCAGGGGATCCCAAACACTGGCAGAACACAGGCAGAGAACAGCTGAAAAGAGAGAGAGAAACAATAAGCTAAATCTGGAAAGAACCTGCTCAGGAGAAACTTAAGGTTGTGAATTCCAGTGACGAGGTGTACATTCCCGTGAATTTCAGTGAAGGAGCGAGCGTAAATTCCCTTGAATTTCAGTGAAGGAGCGAGCGTAAAATCTCTTGAATTTCAGTTAAGGAGAGAGCGTAAATTCCCTTGAATTTCAGATGTGTTACTTATGTGAATCTTCATCCACTGGCGCACAGTACTCACTGGGGCAGGTGAGCTGGCCACACTCATCACTGTGGTGCTGTTCACCTTGGGCCAGAACACTGTAAAGTCCCTCACAAATGTGCCACTGCAAAAAGGTATTACAATAGTAGCCATTAAATATATGTTAGACATCACCTCAGAAACAGTTTTTAGGCAGTAGTATTTTGTTTGTAAATGGAGTATTACCAGAATTGAATGTCTCCTAGTGATGTCACTAGGTGCTTCCCACGTAGCTTGTAACTGGGTTTTTTACACCTGATGCTTGACTCAGAACAGAATTCTGTAGAGCAGAATACTAAATTCAGAACAGGACTAGACACGCTATATATACAAACGTATGTGGACATCCCTTCAAATTAGTGGATTTGGCCGTTTCAGCCACACCGGTTGTTGACAGGTGTATAAAATCGAGCACACAGCCATGCAATATCCATAGACAAACATTGGCAGTAGAATGGCCTTACTGAAGAGCTCAGTGTCTTTCACCATAGCACCGTCATAGGATGCCATCTTTCCAACAAGTTCATCAAATTTCGGCCCTGCTAGAGCTGCCCCGGTCAACTGTAAGTGCTGTTATTGTGAAGTGGAAACGTTTAGGAGCAACAAATTGGTAGGCCACACAAGCTCACAGAACGGTACCGCCGATTGCTGAAGCGCGTAGCGCGTAAAAATCGTCTGTCCTTGGTTACAACACTCACTACCGAGTTCCAAACTGCCTCTGGAAGCAACGTCAGCACAAGAACTGTTCGTCGGGAGCTTCATGAAATGGGTTTCCATGGCCGAGTAGCCACACACAAGCCTAAGATCACCATGCACAATGCCAAGCATCGGCTGGTATGGTGTAAAACTCGCCATCATTGGATTCTGGAGCAGTGGAAACGCGTTCTCTGGAGTGATGAATCACTCTTAACCATCTGGCAGTCCGACGGATGAATCTGGGTTTGCCGGATGCCAGGAGAACGCTACCTGCCTGAATGCATAGTGCCAACTGTCAAGTTTGGTGGAGGAGGAATAACGGTCTGGGGCTGTTTTTCATGGTTCGGGCTAGGCCCCTTAGGTCCCTAAGTGAAGGGAAATCTTAACGCTGCAGCATACAATGACATTCTAGACGATTCTGTGCTTCCAACTTTGTAGCAACAGTTTGGGGAAGGCCCTTTCCTGTTTCCGCATGACAATGCCGCCGTGCGCAAAGCGAGGTCCATACATAAATGGTTTGTCGAGATCGGTGTGGAAGAACTTGAGTGGCCTGCACAGAGCCTTGACCTCAACCCCATCGAACACCTTTGGGATGAATTGGAACGCTGACTGCGAGCCAGGCCTAATCGCCCAACATCAATGCCCGACCTCACTAATGCTCTTGTGGCTGAATGGAAGCAAGTCCCTGCAGCAATGTTCCAACATGGAACGCCTTCCCAGAAGAGTAGAGGCTGTTATAGTAGCAAAGGGGGGACCAAATCCATATTAATGCCCATGATTTTGGAATGAGATGGTCGACGATCAGGTGTCCACATACTTTTGGTAATGTAGTGTATATATGAACCATGACTGCATTGGTTTGATCTCTACAATATGCTGTGTCGTGTCTGACCTACCCTGGACCTGAGGTCCTTCGCATGCACAGAGAGCATTCCCACATTAACATAGCTTAAAGGTTGTTGCAGTCCAGCGCTCGGGACGTGTTGGGATTTATGGAAGTGAAGCGACCCACTGTGACTTGTCCTCCCACTTCCCGGGCCTGTAACAGTAAACCCTGGAATTACGAGGAATTACCAACAGTCTCCAGAGTCACTGTGGGGAAGAGGTGAGGAGCGGAGTCTCAAACAAGGGTCATGCTCAATCCTAAACACTTGACCTTTGACCTCGTTACACAAGAGTTTCAATATTCCATGGAGGGGCAGAGGTTTTGAGTGAGAGACTAAGACAAGCATGCAAAGCAAGCAAACTGAAATCGACTTTTTCAACCAAGATGAACAAGCTATTGACATTATGTACTAATTATAAGACAGATTTTCCATGATCAAAAACACAATAGTAGTTATTACTATGTAACAACTATCAACTGCACGCTGCCATACATTACCTTAATTTCCTTGTATGTGGTT